TATGTCATCGTCTTTTGTTGGTTACCAAGCCATGTTGGTATTATTGGTAACACAATGGCCGATGCTGTTGCAAAGGCAGCACTCAACAAATCTGTGACACCACTTCTAATACCATATACTGATTATAAGCCTGCTAATAGATATTACATCAGATATCTAATGCAAATGAAGTGGGACACCCAAGAAGGTATCAATAAGTTACATGAAATTAAACCAACTATAAGTTACACCGAACTTGGCTGTCAGTCCAGATTTGAAGAGGTCATTCTAAGACGATGTCGTATTGGTCATTCCCGATACACCCACGAGTATTTAATGAAAGGTGAGTATCCTCCGTTTTGTATCCCTTGTGATGAGAGAATCACGGTCAAGCATGTCCTGCTTGACTGTATTGATTTTGCCATCACAAGGGATCAATATTTCAACGTTTATCACTCAAGGATCTTTTTAACTTTAACTCTCATTTAATTCTTGGACTTTTAAAAGATGTAGAAAGTTATATATTTTATAAATTGTTAGTATATGATTATGAACTGAGATTGTTAGGTGTTGTACCCTTGATGGGGGTTGAAGTAGAAAGTTATATATACTGAACAGCATTGAAAACGCACCAGCAATAAATCTTGAAATATTACAAAAACAACTTGAGCAATGCCCGATTTTGATTAGAACAGACATAGACGGATTATAAGGAAAGACGACAAAGGAAACAGGAATACCACACAGAAATTACAATTACGTCATCAGTGTAAGGAAGACACATAGGGTTAAAATGAAAAGTCAATATCTGGTATGTCCGCCATTGACAGCAACACAGGTCATGCAACGTCTTCTCATTGATCGAATAAGTCTGCGAATAGTGTTCTGGAGCATTCCACTCTTGACGTAGTGCATCTTCAAGTTCTATCAGGTTCTGTACTTGCGGACGACGTGAGAGGCGTTGACCCATGTAATCTCATAGATGTTCAATTGGCGATAGATCGGGTGACAGGGCTGGCCATGGAAGCAGAGGCACATTATTGTTCGCTAGGTACTGTGTTGAAACACGTGCTGTGTGCGCTCTTGCATTATCTTGCTGGAAAGTGTGCATATCCTGGTGCTGATGAAAGAATGGGATGACGTGATTTGCCAATATGTTATTCCTGTAGTAAAGGGCATTAACTCTTCCACGACAAACATGGAGCTCTGTTCGATGGTTATGACTGATGCCGCCCCACACCATGACACTCTCTACCCCTATCGATCTGTCTGTACAACGCAGTCATTGTGGTAACTTTCTCCACGTCGACGCCACACTCGCAGTCGACCGTCAGCATTCCGTAAATGAAAACGGGACTCATCAGAGAACAGCACACCATGCCACTGCCGCAATCTCCAATGACGATGCCTTTTGGCCCAACGCAGACGTTCATTTCGAGGTCGATCAGTGAGTATGGGTCCAACATATTGACGTCGAGCACGTTGCCCTGCTGAGCGGCGACGTCGACGTACGGTGTCAGCACTGATCAATGCCGTCGGCCTTGTACGGTTGCTGCAGTCCTGGTAGCCGGAAGTGTACGATCACGAAGATGCCGACGAACAATATGGCGATCCTGACGTGGTGTAGTTACATGACGTTGAACCGGACGTGGTCGATCTCTGGTGGTTCTTGTCTGCTGGTATCTGCTCAGTAGCCTGAGGACTGTTGAATAATGGCATTGAAACCGTTGTGCAACGACTCTACTTGACGTACCAACTTGAAGCATGCCCAAGGCACGTTCACGTTACTCTGCTGTTAATCTTGGCATTTCTTGTGTCAGTACACTTGATGTTGCTTTTAAAACTCTGTCTTTTATAGCCCTATTCTGCATGCTTCACGTGAAACAAAACACGTTTTCCATGATGTGCACGCAATTTGTTGCGTTTTGGCGATTTCGCTCACCAAAAATTTAGGAATGTGTTTTGACGAGCTGTTCTTCTTCATGCTTCGTCCAGAACGTCGTAAATTACTCATTCACTTATATATTTTCATATGACTTAAGCCCGGATAAAAATACATCCATTTTCATGGTGGTTCGTTTTCAATGCTGTTCAGTATATTTTATAAATTGGTAGTATATGATTATGAACTGAGATTGTTAGTTGTTGTACCCTTGAAGTGGTTTGAAGTAGCATAAAAATATTCTCCCCCCTGAGAGAGTACGTAAGCCCACTTCAATTAAAGTATTTTATATATACCAGGTTTTTAATCGTAAAATAGGGGCGGTCGGGTAGCCTAGTGGTTAAAGCGTTTGCTCGTCACGCCGAAGACCCGGTTTCGATTCCCGCCATGGGTACAATGTGTGAAGCCCATTTCTGGTGTCCCCCGCCGTGATATTACTGGAATATTGCTTAAAGCGGCGTAAAACCATACTCACTCACTCACTTAATCGTGAAATATTTGTTTGTTTTAATTTTGGCTAAACTTCGCCATAATAACCAGTAACAGAAGGGATGGTGTAAATCCTGCCGGGGTCATATGCAGGTAGCAAAGGTACTGTAAGTCCTTGCAGGATTTAGGAGGGCAAAATAGATTACAAAATTTTGAGCGTAAGAGTGACTTTAGAACAGTGTTTCTCCCGTAAGTTTCAGGCTTACCATATATTCATGTTTCTCATTTTTTGTTAGTTTTTCGTTCTATTTCTTTTCTTCAATACAGTCTAGATCAATTTCAAAATAAATTCCCAGAAGTGTTTACTCGGTTTGTGAGCAATCAAAAATCCATTTTTTTGCACATCTTATATCTAGTACTCATTTTGTTTTATCCACAATTACCCTTAAACCTGAAAACGCGCAAAATTTGGCAATGTGTTAAAACTTTATAAAGGCATTTGTTTCAGTTCCGTCAAATGTAAGCGTTGTATCATCGGCGGATTTCTACTGAAATGAAAGCTTTCACAAAGTCAATTAACAGTAGTGAGCCAGGATTCTGAAACGTTTCCTTACGTTCCATCAATCGCAGATAAGTCCAGTTACTTCTACAATATACCTATCAACAACAAAACATTTTTGGTCTTCACTTATTATACTGGGTAATTTTTATTCTATTTGCAATGGCTGCAGCGCCAGCTTTCTATGAAGTATTTAGAAGAGAATTAGGACGCCAATGTTTCAGATGTGTTTTAGGTTTCTTTCTTTTCAGGATGCACTTTTTTCACCCCTGCTACTGTGAAATTGATAATGTACCCTTTTTGTAGCCACGATTAAATGATTTCAGTAAAATCTCTTCTTAGCCTTACCAAATGCTTTTTAAAAACTCCGTTGTAAAACCATCCGGTCCTGGAATTTTTCACGCTTCATATGTTTCTATGATTATGATATTTGAGTTCTAATGTGGTAATATCTTTTTCAGTTAATATTGGTACATTAAGGTTTTTAAAACAAATCAGTTGGTGCAGTGTACAGCTTTTCGTAAAACAATTTCGTTTTGTTTAGTATTGCCTGAGCTCTCATGTTTTTCCAATTCAATGAAAGATTTATTCTAGATTCTAATTTCAGAAAGTATTTGGTTGTCTTTTCATGTTTAATCCATTTAGCATTAGATCTGATCAACATACCGTGTTAGTTGATTATTTATTTCATCCAGTTTGTTTTCCCCATCGTATCAATTTGATTTTAAATACATTTTCCAGCAATTTCATTGCCCTTATCCAATTGTTTTTGTAATGTTTCTAAGTTTGTTTCTTTTTTCAAATTCTTTTCATTTATCTTATGCATTTTTTTAGTAGAGGAATAGTAAATAGTGTTACCTTCAATCATTAATAACAAGGTTTCCCAGAGTAACTGATCACACTATGTGCAAAAAATAACACACAGTTGGCTGCGTATAAATAAAATATGGTAAAACATGATCCATATTTTGTACTCCTCACACATTCTATTAAGTTCGGGGACACGGGTGGCCCAGTCGTCTAAAGCGCCGCGATTCGCTGTGCAGAGTTGCGTCCCCTGGACATGCCAGGAACCTATGATGGTGGGTTCGAATCCCGGTTCGCCCCGATTATGTTTCTAGGTTTGTCAGCACCATACCCGTGCTCGTGGGTTTCACCGAAGTGATAAACGTATGAGACCTGCAACACTTCGGGCTTTCCTCCCACATTAAGCTGACACGCCGTGATATAACTGGAATAATGTTAAAAGCGGTGTGAAACCCAACTCACTCACTCTCTCTATTAAGTTGTAATAATTGTGATCATATAATCAGTATGAGGGCAATGCACTAGAAACAAAAATAGAGTTGATTGATCTATATTTGCTTGTTACTATGGATGAACTGCCATTATAACAGTCGTGTATTCAGCATTTTGTATACAGTTTGGTGCTGTGTCAATTTATATATATTCACATGTTTCTGCAGGCATTATTGCATTAATACATCACTGTAAAGAAGCTGTAATTGTCTGTTTGTCATTCTTTTAGGTAGTTAATGACCACATTTTGGAATCGGCACAGGGACATTAACTTCTTCAGTTAATTGTGCAGTCAATTGGATGTACCTCCAGGGGCTTTATAGAGTGTATCACATAGTATTTACATAATGACTGATGATAGAATAACACAAATACAGCAGTGAACCATTTCGGTTAATGGCGTTCACAATTCAAACAAAGCACGGGTAAAAGCATTTGTCGTGAGCAAATCAAGAACAGCAATGACACAGTCATGGCCTAAATACAATTTCATCTCCTCTGCCTAACATTTATGTCATCTGTAAAGCGCACAAACATTAACTTAATGTCATCTGTTTATTTAGTTGATAGTTCACTCCAGTGATACTATTAACTCAACTTAATACAATTGAAAGGTAACTAATCTCTCGCTTGTGGCAGCATCAGCGCATTAAGCACTGGTGACATTATTGATCAATGCGATGATTTTGCAAGTCATCTTAATTGCGCAGGGGGACAAAGGGAGTACTGTGTGGGCAGACGTTTTGTACCGTGTGTTTTACAGTGCTTCGATCATTTGGAGCAGAACAACAAGTATATAGCATAGAAAGACGCACAATACTTTATGCTGCTTCATAGTATAGCTCGACACTGCCTTGCTTCCTAGTAGTGGGTGCACATTGCTCGTGAAGTACAAGACAGAGAATGTATGTGTCGGGGCTGTACACAGAGGTAAGGGTGCCTCGACTCAAGTTTGTGACATGTGGACTGTACTTACTGTTGTTTCTGGGAACCGCTAGAAGTCAGGATGACCACCATATACTTCGACTACACAATGACATCATCAAAAACAACAACCCCAAAGTCAGACCTGTCAAGAACAGCAGTGACACCATTACGGTCTTTTTACAACTTCATCTTCTCAGCATGTCTGATTTTGATGAAGTGACTCAGACAGTGACAGCTAATGGGTTTTTCTTAGTTTCCTGGAAAGATGAGTTCCTAACGTGGAACGCCAGCGAGTATGGAGGAGTCGGTGAAATAAGTCCTGACTATGGGATGGTGTGGAGACCTTACATCACTATTCGTAACGTCGTGGATAGTGTTGAACCCCTGGGACTCGACTTCGGGATAATTAAAGTGACAGCCAATGGAATTGTGAATTGGGCACCTGGCGATACATTCAAGACTTTCTGCCAAATGGATGTTACCAATTTTCCTTTGGATGAACAAGAATGTATTTACAGTACGTTTAATTGGGGATATACTCTGAAAGAAGTGGATTTACAACCGATCAACAACTCTATAGGATTAGACCTGTTCAATGCTAACAGCCAATGGGATATCATTTACACATCTGCGCAAAGAGTGATCAATGAAGCCAACAACACGCCTTTTCCATTTGTTCACTTTAAAATGACCCTGAAGAGAAAGCCATCCCTTGCGATACTGACAACTCTCCTGCCTGTCCTGATGCTGGGATTAGTCAATGTGGTGGTGTTCCTCATCCCTGTGGAGTCTGGAGAGAAGCTGTCCTTTGCGATCACAGTTTTGCTGTCTTTCACGGTTTCCCTTTCTTTCGTCACTGGACTGCTGCCACAGAACGGTGACAGTATACCTGTATTTACGATCTTCATTGTTGGCCAGTTTGTAATGAGCTCTATCTACGTGTTTCTGACCATCTGGATCGTACAAGTGTTCCACCGAGACGCTGCCATCAGACCCGTTCCCTCCTGGATGGGGCGTCTGACAAGGTCCTGGGAGAGATGCTTCTGTGGCACTCCAGCTGTGGGAAACAAGGAGAACTTGACGATGACAGCTTGGGAATGTCCATCTGTGTCTTGGATTAGGGTTAGCAAAATGGCGGACAGGATTATGTTCTGTGTGTTTTTTATTGCTTACACCTTAACAACAGTCATTTCTACTCTTAAGATAGCATATTTGTAACATACAAAAAAACAAACAATTTTAAGATCTCGTGGACTTAACAACTCAGGGATTCATTTCTGGCTATTTTACCTTATCACTTGTTGTTTGTATACATGTATGTTTTAAAGTGTGTTGAGGGCATAGTTCCATTGTTCCATGTGAATGTTCATGGATACACCAATGTTTTATTCTTAAGATTGTTCATGTGTTATTCCATTTAAGTATTTGTTTGGTACTTTATGTATTATCCCATGTGTAATTGACACTTTCCTGTGTCAGCTCCAACAGTGTCTTTAACATGTAAATGTTGTGGTTTTACAAGCTTATAGGCGTGTCTATATGGTTATATAACATATTTGTTGACGTCTCCATTTATTGATCACCTGCATGATGTCCATGTGGTAAGATAATACTTTAAGCTGCGTAGGTATGTGTGGTATAAATTTTCAAAACGATCCTAGTTAAACTTAATCTTATTTTCCTTTGTTGATTAGGCGTTTTCGAAACTCTCTGCAACTAGTCGCATATAGTACAAAGCCACGACACCTTTCATAGCCATGACGGAGACTCATTTGTGTTTGAATTCTTTTCAATGACGTCACTGGGATTTCCCAACAAACATGGACAAACAATGTAAATGTGGGATAACACACTCAATGATGTTTCCATGCGTTGGAAGACAATTTTGTTGGCTCACGTTTTTTTATATCATTGTGGAAATAAACTTTTAGTGGGGTGACTGTAATCACAGTGCTGCTGCTTATCCCTGCTGTATCCCTGACCTTCATCACTGGACTCCAGCCACAGAACGCTGGTAGAATACCCATTTACGATCTTCATTCCTCCCTGTTTGTGATGAGTTTCTACGTGTTTCTGACCATCTTGATCGTGCAGGTGTTCCATCGACACGCTGCCATCAGGCCTGTTCCTTCCTGGATGGGGCGTATAACAAGGGCCTGGGAGAGATGCTTCTGTGGCACCCCTGCTGTTGGAAACCAGGAGACGGTGCCACAGGAAAAGATGTCGAAGAAATAATTGAATCCCCCATCAATGAATTGGAAGCGAGTCAGCAGATTAAACAAATCTTTTCTCTTGTTTGTTTTAATGCTGTTCGTCCTAACAACAGTGATTGGTTTTCTTAAGATAGCATATTTCTGACATGTCAAAAACTACGGTCACGTTCATCACGTGGGCTATAAACGTATAACCTATGAACTTATAAACTGTAACAGAATAACATATAGGCAATGCGAACATCCGACACCAAACCATTTGATGTGTCAGTGTTAGTATATGTAAATAATTGTCTACATCCTAATGGGAATAGGTTGATCGCGCCCATACGATGAGGTTCATAGTTGACACAAGCTTGTTTACTTTTAAGTTTACAATATGTTTGGTATTGCTAGAGGCATCGTTCACTCACTCTATTGACAGTTCTGTTTGTTGCCTATTACCGTACTGGTGAGTAATTCAATCGACGTATTCCTTTACTATGGATATTTCTCTCCACATGTCTGTCCACGTGTTCATATGTAAGTGTTATTTCCATTGTCTGTTGATATTTGTTTGTTTGTTAGTTTGTTGTTTAACGCCACACATATTGCTGGCAATATTCCAGCAATATGACGATGGTCTGTAAATAATAGAGTCTGGACCAGACAATCTAGTGCGACAAGCATGGTAATCTTTTAAGATAAGCAAGGAGTTGTTGAGGACCTATTCTCACCCGGATCTTCACGGTTGTTTTATTGAAGCATCCATGCATTATATATTATATTTCTGCTGAAGTATTACGTCAGTAGTATAGCATTGGTTTTGTGTAGCCCTATGATGGTCATCATTACATCTTGACAATAGTTTCAATTCGGAAAGATTAACATTGTCAGTAATAAATCCTCTTTATTGACACGTGCACGTGTTTGTGATTTCATGACCTGTTTGTAAACTCACCTGAATGTGAGGTTAGCTGACATCATGGATTCATACTCGTCATGGAGAGTCGCCATTGTTGCCACATACATGTCTCTACTGAATCAGATTAGGACACCGTTAGTCTAAATGTCACTTGTGACTGCTTGCATTTTATCTTGTTAATAATTGCATCAATCATCAACAACTATCCCTCCATTATGGTATCGACATTAACTCATCACTTTCTATGCATTGATGTTATTACATGCGGAGTAAACTAAAATAACTGAATGCTGTATTTTGATTGGAAAGAACGGGTTATTGATGATATTGGAACCAGTAAAACTGGAGGAACTTATTGCAACAAATATAACAATCCAGTGCATATTTTGAACACTACCATGCTTTGCCTCGTGAGAGAGATTTGCTTTGACCTTGCTCTGTGGTTACATTTTGTATATAATAGGGATTCTATTTCCAATAAATGATTTCGGAAATTTAATTTTACCACCATTATTTATGGATGTTCTCGGTTTGTTGAAACAAAACTCTTTTCAGAAACTACTTTGGTTTAATCAGACGTATGAAATATTGGCAAGACGTTCAACCTCAGCTTCCAACATGTAGATGACCTCACAATTTTCAACAATGCCTAGATGTAAGGAAAAGAATTTATGCCTATCAAAAGAAATGCCAAGATGAATGAATATCTTCACATCATCTATCTTTCAGATTGGACAAAAATAAACAACTGCGACACTAGACTGAATGTCCAAACACTGTACTAAGATGTATGACAAGAGGCGTGTCGATTTTCAAAACCTCATGTTTGGCAATATAACATCGGCTAAAGCTAATGACGTCTATATTTCTTAATTGCTTGAGTATTTAAGAGCATTTACATTTTATTCAAGTTTCCCTGAAACGCATATTTTGTATTAGACAGAAAAATTCAGAGGAATGTCTTAAATAAGATGGGTCCCTTGTTGACATGATTCGGGAGGTAATCCCCTACACTGACCTTAGCGAGTTTTCACACCTCCTTACTCCCTGGCACTAGTTATAGGGACCGGGTGGTCATGCTTGCTGACTTGGTTGGCTTGGCGTGGTACCCCGACGACGTGGCCGCTGTTGCATGGCAGGAGTTGTGCTAAAAAAAAGATCTAAGGACATCCTATTACGGGTCACGTCAGAACGACCTTTCGCGAACTTTGACCGACCACTGAAATGACTAACAAGAAGTCGACATCAGCCAATTAGAAAGCAGCTTTCTCGAGCTTTTCGGCACTCGTTTCAACCTGGCCATTTCAATTTCAGACTATGCTTGAAAAATATGTTGACACATACGTTAAACAAACGAACATTCCGGAATGTCTAATATATGCTTGAGATTGCTTGGCAGAGCTTTCCACGTACAGTGCAACGCCTCCCCCAATCAAATGTTTATCCCACGGAGCGAGAGATAGACGATAATTTTGACGGAATCAGTCGTACGGAGTAACCCGTGTTAACGTTTTCGAGGTTGCATGATTAGAAAACACATTCCGACTGTCACTTTCATTATGTGGTAAGCGACACTTTGATTGGTTGGATGAAAGGTCGTTCTGACGTGACCCGTAATGGGATGTCCTCAAATCTTTGTTTAGCGATAGCGAGAACTAAGATCTGCTTTTAATGAGATTGGAGTTGTGCTTGGTGCGGCATCAGGCACATACTGGTGGTGGGTGCTACCTGGAGAGCGGGACATAAATATACTTTCTCGAACACCTGGTGTCATCACTGATTTGCAGTAGTATATTCATGCCATTTTCGTCACTTTTTGCTTTTCATGCCCCATGGAATGCGTTGGCTCAAAAGCAGTCTACCTCTTATACAACACACATGCCCGCAAACGAGAGTTTACGAGCGCTTCTTTCACTTGTCCACAGCGCACGACGAAGCACAAACAAAAGGGCTTCAGATTTGAACGTTTGTTGTTTAACGCCGCACTCAGCAATATTCCAGCTATTGGACGGCGGTCTGTAAAATAATCGAGTCTGGGTTGTATACTCCCAAGGGAGCTGAGAATGAAAATTGAGTGCTCACTGATCCATTGACCGGGGTAATAATAGTGTAGCGCTATGACCATCTACTTGGTGAATGGAAACTGGCGAATTATAAATGCACTTATTATTATTACCAGACAATCCAATGATTGACATCATGAGCATCGATCTACGCAATTGGTATCGATGACATGTATCAACCAAGTCATCGAGCCTGACCACCCGATCCCGTTAGTCGCCTTTTACGACAAGCAAAGTCGCCATTTACGGCAAGCATGGGTTGCGGAAGACCTATTCTACCCCGGATCTTCATGGGTCCCTACTTGGCTTTACCTATTCTGTCGATGCAGTCATCGATTCTTGATATTTGATAAGAGTCAGTTTTAAAAACAACATCTGTAATTGCCATCAGGCTTGGGCACAAGAATGCAAGGTGATCTCCAGTCACTATGACTTGGTTCAATAATGTCATTGTCCAGCATATACTGAATCTCCCTCAGAGCCTCAAGCTTGATTGGATTTATCCGGTAGGGACGTTGTTTCACAGGCACAGCGTCTCCAACATCTGCATCATGACACACTAGATTTATACGACCAGATACATCCGTAAACAGGTGAGCAAACTTTTGAATTAACTCTGACACTTGAGACTTTTGCTCAACTGACAAATGACTTAACTAAGCATCCACGTTAGGTAGTACTTCAGAATTGTGTAGCTTATGGTAAGCATAGTCGGCAATGGCATCAAACATGAAAAAGTCACAGTTTTCATTTGTATCACTGGAGAAACAGTGGCAATACGCTGTGTTGGTACATTGTCGTTTCTTTCATGATACTATTTCCGTCGCCATCCTATGGTCCATAATTTGAATAAATATAAAATCGTAAATGCCAAAGCCAGACGAACATTTAAACGAAATAAACGTCAATCCTGGCAGAACTATGTTACGAAAATAAATTCACAGACTCCGATGTCCAAAGTATGGAACAAAGGTAAGGGTTCCAAAGCCAGCATCCACCATCCTTAAAATTGGGATGAATTGCTTACTGGTAGTTCAGATATTGCTCATAAACCTTGAGAAACTTTGGCGAAACATTCTTCCTCGACTAACTATGTACCAACATTAAAAAAAATATCAAAAGCATCAGGAAAAGAAAAACATCAATTTTAAATCAGATAATGCGGAAGACTACAATGAAATATTTTCCATCCACGAGCTCCATACTGCCCTTGGGCAAGCTCATGATACTGCTACAGGAACTGATAACATCCATTATCAACTCCTGAAACATTTACCCTAATCATGTTTAGAAACCCTACTGTTAATATTTGATGATATTTGGACATCTGGTAAATTTCTTTCTTCATGGCGTGATGCCATTGTTGTTCCCATACCGAAACCTGGACGGGATCATACCGATCCATCAAATCATAGACCAAATTTCATTGACTAGTTGCGTTTGCAAAACCATGGAACGCATGGTCAATGATAGACTGCTTACTTAGAATCCAATAATTGAATAACAATTATTCAATGGTTTTTGTAAAAATCGCAGTACCATTGACCATTTAATTCGATTGGAGTCATTCGTTAAGAATGCAATAATAAACAAGCAACATGCAGTGTCTATCTTTTACGATCCAGAAAAAGCTTATGACATTGGATGGAAACACAATATTTTAAAAGATTTACATGACTTTGGAATGCGAGGCCATTTGCCTCAATTTATATCCGGGTTTTTAACTGACATGCAGTTTCAAGTCCGCGTGGGTTCTACCCTGTCTGATCATTATCATCAGGATCAGGGTGTCCCACAAGGCAGTATTTTGTCTGTCACTTTGTTTAGTATTAAAATAAATAGTCTCCTAAAAGTTTTAAATGATTCTCTTGATGGATCGTTTTTCTGGATGATTTAAACGTATCTTGTCGAGGTAAAAATATGCATACTATAGAAAAACAATAACAATTATGTCTCAATACAATACATAAATGGTCTTTAGAAAACGGTTTTAAATTTTCGAAATCTAAAACAAATTGTATTCACTTTTGTAGGAAGAACAAGCCTCATAGAGACCCAGAATTAGTTTAGGATGGCATTCCTATTAAGGTTGCCAATGAAACAAAGTTCTTTGGTATACTTTTTGACAGACATTTGACATCTTTACCTCACATCAAACATTAAAAAATAGATGCCTGAAGGCCCTAGAGTTGATGACAGTTGTTTCCAATTCAAAATGGGTGGGGATCAGAAAACTCTACTCCACCTGTACCGATCGCTGATTCGCTCTAAATTAGATTATGGCTCCATCGTCTATGGTGGAGCCTGTAAAAGGAAATTAAAATTGCTTGATACCATTCATCATCAAAGTATGAGACTTTGCCTTGGTGCCTTCAGAACTTCTTCCATTAGTAGTATGTACGATGATGCTGATGAGCCATCCCTGAAACACCTTCACTTAAAATTAGCATTGCAATATGTTACAAAACTTTATTCTAATCCAACCAATCCTGCATTTGAATGTGTTTTCAGCCCTCTTATGAGGATTTGTATGGGGAAAAACAGCGCTTATTCCTCCACTTGGAATAAGAATGAAACCTGCCCTTTCTGATGCTAACATTAACCTTACAGTTATATCTCCACTCAGATTTTGTCTTCTCCTCCGTGAAAGCCACAGGTCGATCTGACGTTAACCAACCTAAAGAAATCAGATATATACCAATCAGTTACTTTATCAGCAAAAATATAATGAACATTAGAGGCCCCTGTAACACTTACAAATCTATTTTCACAGATGGATCCAAGGATGGTGGTGCAGTTGCTAGTGCCATTGTCATTGGATCCAACACCATATCATCAAGAATACCAGACGCCAGTTCAATTTTTACTGCAGAATCTAAGGCAATTTAAACAGCTCTCCAATATGTACATACACAATCTAAACATAAACAGTTCATAATATTTCCTGATTCCCTTTCTGTCTTCAGGCCATTAAGAATATTTTCTGCGATCATCCACATTTAATTGAAATAATAGAATTACATAATGATCTTGCTACTTTTACTAGCGTCTTTTGTTGGTTACCAAGCCATGTTGGTATTATTGGTAACACAATGGCCGATGCTGCTGCAAAGGCAGCACTCAACAAATCTGTGACACCACTTCTAATACCATATAGTGATTATAAGCCTGCTATTAGATATTACATAAGATATGTAATGCAAATGAAGTGGGACACCCAAGTAGGTTTCAATAAGTTACATGAAATTAAACCAACTATAGGTTTCACCTACCTGGGCTGTCAGTCCAGATTTGAAGAGGTGATTCTTAGACGATGTCGTATTGGTCATTCCCGATACACCCACGAGTATTTATTGAAAGGTGAGCATCCTCCGTTTTGTATCCCTTGTGATGAGAGAGTCACGGTCAAGCATGTCCTGCTTGACTGTATTGATTTTGCCATCAAAAGGGATCAATATTTCAACGTTTCATCACTCAAGGATCTTTTTAACTTAAACTCTCGTTTAATTTTTGGACTTTTAAAAGAAATTGAATTGATTAATAAATTTTGATGTAGAAAATCAAAAAAATTATAAATCGTAGTCTATGATTATGAACAGGGATTGTTAGTTGTTGTACCCTTGAAGTAGCGTAAAATTATTGTCCCCCGAGAGGGTGCGTAGGCCCACTTCATACAAAGTATTTTATATATACCAGGTTTTTAATCGTAGAATATTTGTTTGTTTTAATTTTGGCTAAACTTCTCCATAATCACCAGTAACACAAGAGGTGGTGCAAATCCTGCCGGGGTCCATGCAGGTAGCAAAGGTACTGTTAGTCCCCATGGTCCTCAGTGTGGGGGCCTACCTTTAGGTTGCTGGTGGTATATATTTGCAATGGCTGCAGCGCAAGCTTTCTATGAAGTATTTAGAAGGGAATTAGGGCCCTAATGTTTCAGATATGTTTTAGGTTGATTTCTTTTCAGGATGCACGTTTTTCACCCCTGCTGGTGTGAAATTGATAATGTACCCTTTTCGTAGCCACAAATAAATGATTTCAGTAAAAAACCCTCCTTAGCCTTTTTAAATATGATTAAAAACTCCGTTGTAGAACCATCCGGGCCTGGAAGTTTTCACTCTTCATATGTTTCTATGATTATGATATTTGAGTCATGGCCAATTCACGTTCTAATGTGGTAATATCTTTTTCAGTTAATATTGGTACATAGAGGTTTTTAAAACAAATCAGTTGGTGTTACATCTTGTGCAGTGGACAGCTTTTCGTAAAACAGTTTCGTTTTGTCAAGTATTGCCTGAGCTCTCATGTTTTCAATTCAATGAGAAATTTATTCTAGATTCCAATTTCAAAAAGTATTTGGTTGTCTTTTTTCCATGTTCAATCCATTTAGCATTAGATCTGATCCACATACCATGAATTAGTTGATTATTTATCTCATCCAAGTTTTTTCCCCATCGTATCAATTTGATTTTAAATACTTTTTCCAGCAATTTCATTGCCCTTATCCAATTGTTTTTCTAATGTTTCTGAGTTTGTTTCTTTTAAAAAATTCTATTTATTTATCTCAAGCATTTTTTTAGTAGAGGAATAGTAAATAGTTTTACCTTCAATCATGAATAACAAGGTTTCCCAGAGTAACTGTTCATATTTGTGATCACACTATGTGCAAAATAATTAACACACAGTTGGCTGCGTATAAATAAAATATGGTGAAACATGATCCATATTTTGTACTCCTCACACATTCTATTAAGTTCATAATTGTGATCATATAATCAGTATGAGGAATGCACTAGAAACAAAAATAGAGTTGATTGATCCATATTTGCTTGTTACTATGGATGAACTTTCATTTTAACAGTCGTGTTTTCAGCATTTTGTATACAGTTTGGTGCTGTGTCAATTTCTATATATTCACATGTTTCTGCAGGCATTATTGCATTAACACATCACTGAAAAGAAGCTGTTATTGTCTGTTTGTCATTCTTTGTGGTAGTTAACTTCTTCCGTTAATTGTGCAGTCAATTGGATATACCTCCATGGGCTTTATAGAGTGTATCACACATAGCATTCACTATAATCTCTCGCTTGGCAGCATCAGCGCATTAAGCACTGGTGACATTATTGATCAATGCGATGATTTTGCAGTTCATCTGAATTGCGCAGGGGGACAGGGGAGTGCTGTGTGGGCAGACGTTTTGTACCGTGTGTTTTACAGTGCTTCGGTCATTTGGAGCAGAACAAGTATATAGAAAGACGCACAATACGTTGTGCCGCTTCATAGTAGAGCTCGACACTGTCTTGCTTCCTAGTAGTGGGTGCACATTGCTTGTGAAGTACAAGACAGAGAATGTATGTGTCGGGTCTGAACACAGAGGTAAGGGTGCCTCGACTCAAGGTTGTGACATGTGGACTGTACTTACTGTTGTTACTTGGGACCACTAGGGGTCAGGATGACCACCATATACTTCGACTACACAATGACATCATCAAAAACAACAACCCCAAAGTTAGACCTGTCAAGAACAGCAGTGACACCATTACAGTCTCTTTACAACTTTATCTTCTCAGCATGTCTGATTTTGATGAAGTGACTCAGACAGTGACAGCTAATGGGTTTCTCTTAGTTATCTGGAAAGATGAGTTCCTAACTTGGAACGCCAGCGAGTATGGAGGAGTCAGTGAAATAAGTCCTGACTATGGGATGGTGTGGAGACCTTACATCACTATTCGTAACGTGGTGGATAGTGTTGAACCCCTGGGACTCGACTTCGGGATCATTAAAGTGACAGCAGATGGAATTGTGAATTGGGCACCTGGCGATACCTTCAAGACTTTCTGCCAAATGGATGTTACCAATTTTCCTTTGGATGAACAAGAATGTACTTACAGTACGTTTAATTGGGGAGATAGTCTGAAAGAAGTGGATTTACAACCGATCAATAACTCTATAGGATTAGACCTGTTCAATGCTAACAGCCAATGGGATATCATGTACACATCTGCGCAAAGAGTGATCAATGAAGCAAACAACACGTCATATCCATTTGTTAACTTTAAAATGACCCTGAAGAGAAAGCCATCCCTTGCGATACTGACAACTCTCCTGCCTGTCCTGATGCTGGGATTAGTCAATGTGGTGGTGTTCCTCATTCCTGTGGAGTCTGGAGAGAAGCTGTCCTTTGCGATCACAGTTTTGCTCTCTTTCACTGTTTCCCTGTCTTTCGTCACTGGACTGCTGCCACAGAACGGTGACAGTATACCCGTATTTACGATCTTCATTGTTGGCCAGTTTGTAATGAGCTCTATCTACGTGTTTCTGACCATCTGGATCGTACAAGTGTTCCACCGAGACGCTGCCATCAGACCCGTTCCCTCCTGGATGGGGCGTCTGACAAGGTCCTGGGAGAGATGCTTCTGTGGCACTCCAGCTGTGGGAAACAAGGAGAACTTGGCGATGGCAGCTTGCGAATGTCTATCTGTGTCTTGGATTAGGGTTAGCAAAATGGCGGACAGGATTATGTTCTGTGTGTTTTTTATTGCTTACACCGTAACAACAGTCATTTCTACTCTTAAGATAGCATATTTGTAACATCCGAAAAACCACAACAATTTTAAGATCTCGTGGACTTAACCACTCAGGGATTCATTTCTGGCTATTTTACCTTATCACTTGTTGTTTGTATACATGTATGTTTGAAAGTGTGTTGAGGGCATAGTTCAATTGTTCCATGTGAATGTTCATGGATACACCAATGTTTTATTCTTAAGATTGTTCATGTGTTATTCCATTGGTTACTTTATGTATTATCCCATGTGTAATTGACGCTTTCCTGTGTCAGCTCCAACAGTGTCTTTAACATGTAAATGTTGTGGTTTTACAAGTTTATAGGCGTGTCTATATAGTTATATAATATATTTGTTGACGTCTCCATTTATTGATCACCTGCATGATGTCCATGTGGTAAGATAATACTTTAAGCTGCGTAGGTATGTGTGGTATAAATTTTCAAAACGATCCTAGTTAAACTTAATCTTATTTTCCTTTGTTGATTAGGCATTTTCGAAACTCTCTGCAACTTGTCGCATATAGTACAAAGCCACGACACCTATCATTGACGGAGACTCATTTGTGTTTGAATGCTTTTCAATGACGTCACTGGGATTTCCCAACAAACATGGACAAACAATGTAAATGTTGGATAACACACTCAATGATGTTTCCATGCGTTGGAAGACAATTTTGTTGGCTCACGTTTTTTTATATCATTGTGGAAATACACTTTTAGTGGGGTGACTGCAATCACAGTGCTGCTGTTTATCCCTGCTGTATCCCTGACCTTCATCACTGGACTCCAGCCACAGAACGCTGGTAGAATACCCATTTACGATCTTCATTCCTCCCTGTTTGTGACGAGCTCTATCTACGTGTTTCTGACCATCTGGATGGTGCAAGTGTTCTATCGGGACGCTGCAATCAGGCCTGTTCCCTCCTGGATGGGGCGTATAACAAGGGCCTGGGAGAGATGCTTCTGTGGCACTCCTGCTGTGGGAAACCAGGAGACCGTGCCACAGGAAAGGATGTCAAAGGAATCATGGAATCCCCCATCAATGACTTGGAAACGAGTCAGCAGATTAAACAAATCTTTTCTCTTGTTTGTTTTAATGCTGTTCGTCCTAACAACAGTGATTAGTTTTCTTAAGATAGCATATTTCTGACATGTCAAAAACTACGGTCACGTTCATCACGTGAGCTATAAACGCTTAACCTATGAACTTATAAACTGTAACAGAATAACATATAGGCAATGCGAACATACGACACCAAACCATTTGATGAGTCAGTGTTAGTATATGTAAATAATTGTCTCCATCCTAATGGGAATAGGTTGATCGCGCCCCATACGATAAGGTTCATAGTTGACACAAGCTTGTTTACTTTTAAGTTTACAATATGTTTGGTATTGCTAGAGGCATCGGTCACTCACTCTATTGACAGTTCTGTTTGTTGCCTATTACCGTACTTGTGAGTAATTCAATCGACGTATTCCTTTACTATGGATATTTCTCTCCACATGTCTGTCCACGTGTTCATATGTAAGTGTTATTTCCATTGTCTGTTGATATTTGTTTGTTTGTTAGTTTGTTGTTTAACGCCACACTCGGCAATATACCAGCAATATGACGATGGTCTGTAGATAATCAAGTCTGGACCAGACAATCTAGTGCGACAAACATGGTCGCCATTTAAGATAAACACGGGTCGTTGAAGACCTATTCTAACCCGGATCTTCACGGTTGTTTTATTGAAGCATCCATGCATTATATATTATACTTCTGCTGAAGTATTACGTCAGTAGTATAGCACTGGTTTTCTGTATCCCTATGATGGACATCATTACATCTTGACAATAGTTTCAATTCGGAAAGATTAACATTCTCAGTAATAAATCCTCTTTATTGACACGTGCACGTGTTTGTGATTTCATGACCTGTTTGTAAACTCACCTGAATGTGAGGTGAGCTGACATCATGGGTTCATGCCCGTCATGGAGAGTCGCCATTGTTGCCACATACATGTCTCTACTGAATCAGATTAGGACACCGTTAGTCTAAATGTCACTTGTGACTGCTTGCATTTTATCTTGTTAATAATTATATCAATCATCAACAACAATCCCTCCATCATGGTATCGACATCAACTCATCTCTTTCTATGCATTCAAGTTATTACATGCGGAGTAAACTAAAATAACTGAATGCTGTATTTTGATTGGAAAGAACGGGTTATTAATGATATTAGAACCAGTAAAACTTGAGGAACTTATTGCAACAAATATAACAATCCAGTGCATATTTTGAACACTATCATGCTTTGCCTCGAGAGAGAGTTTTTCTTTGACCTTGCTCTGTGGTTACATTTTGTATATAATAGGGCTTTCAGTTCCAATAAATGATTTCGGAAATTTAATTTTACCACCATTGTTTATGGATGTTCTCGGTTTGTTGAAACGAAACTCTTTTCAAAAACTACTTTGGTTTAATCAGACGTATGAAACATTGGCAAGAAGTTCAACCTCAGTTTCCTAAATGTAGATGACCTCACAGTTTTCAACAATGCCTAGATGAATGAATATCTTCACATCATCTATCTTTCAGACTGGACAAAATTAGACAACTGTGACACCATACTGAATGTCCAAACACTGTACTCAGATGTATGACAAGAGGCGTGTCGATTTTCCAAACCTCATGTTGGGCAATATAACATCGGCTAAAGCTAATGACGTCTACATTTCTTAATTGCTTGAGTATTTAAGAGCATATACATTTTATTCAAGTTTCCCTGAAACGCATATTTTGTTGGCTTTTTAAGCAATGTTTAACAATAATGGCCTGGTCATTTCATGAATTGTATGGTAGACAGAAAAATTCAGAGGAATGTCTTAAATAAGACACGTCGCTTGTTGACATGATTCGCGATGTTATCCCCTACTCTGACCTTTAGGGAGTTTTCACACGTCCTTACTCACTGGCACTTGTTATAGGGACCGGTTGGTCATGCTTGGTGACTTGGTTGGCGTGGCGTGGTACCCCGACGACGTGGCCGCTGTTGCATGGCAGGAGTTGCGCTCAATCTAATTAAAATCAGATCTAAGTTCTCGCTGCCGCTAAACAAAGATCTAAGGACATCCCGTTACGGGTCACGTCAGAACGACCTTTCGCGAACTTTGACCGACCACTGAAATGACTAACAAGAAGTCGACATCAGCCAATTAGAAAGCAGCTTTCTCGAGCTTTACGGCACACGTTTCAACCTGGCGATTTCCATTTCAGACTACGCTTGAAAAATATGTTGACACATACGTTGAACAAACGAACATTCCGGAATGTCTAATATATGCTTGAGATTGCTTGGTAGTGCTTCTCACGTACAGTGCAACGCCTCCCCCGTTCAAATGTTTATCCCATGGAAGCGAGAGATAGACGAAAATTTTGACGGAATCAGTCGTACGGAATAACCCGTGTTAACGTTTTCGAGGTTGCATGATTAGAAAACACATACCGACTGTCACTTTCATTATGTGGTAAGCGACACTTTGATTGGTTGGATGAAAGGTCGTTCTGACGTGACCCGTAATGACATGTCCTCAGATCTTTGTTTAGCGAGAGCGAAAACTAAGATCTGATTTAATGAGATTGGAGTTGTGCTTGGTGCGGCATCAGGCACATCCTTGTGGCGGGTGCTACCTGAAGAGCGGGACATGAATATCCTTTCTCGAACACCTGGTGTCATCACTGATTTGCAGTAGTACATTCATGCCATGTTCGTAACTATTTGGTTTTCATGCCCCATGGAATGCGTTGACTCACAAGCAGTCTTCCGCTTATACCAGGCAGAGATCCGATTCTTACAAATGCCCGCCAACGAGAGTTTACGAGCGCTTCTTTCACTTGTGCACAGCGCACGACGAAGCACACACAAAATGGCTTCAGATTTGTTTGTTTGTTGTTTAAGGCCGCACTCAGCAATATTCCAGCTATATAACGGCGGTCTGTAAATAATCGAGTCAGGACAAGACAATCCAGTGATTGACATCATGAGCATCGATCTACGCAAATCGGGATCGAACGTGAACTCTTGCGTCTTTATTAATAACGGATGCCCGGACGATTGCCCATGCAAACCGGGAGAACGTGTGTCACCTTGCTTGTATTTGACTATAATTGAATCGTGTTTGGACGGTGCTGCGGTGGCGTCCAGATACATTGTGTGTACAATTGTTACTCTATATTATGTGACCCATGAAGATCCGGGGTAGAATAGTTCTTCAGCAATCCATTCTTGCCGTAAAGGGCGATTATGCTTGTTGCAAGAGGCGGCTAACGGGATCGGGTGGTCAGTCTCGCTGACTTGGTTGATGCATCTCATCGTATCCCAATTGCATGGATCGATGCTCATGATGTCAATCACTGGATTATCTGTTCCAAACTCGATTATTTACAGACCACCGCCATATAGCTGGAATATTGCTGATTGCGACGTTAACCAACAATCATCATCATCATCATCATCATCATCATCATCATCTATATTATGTATGCGATTATTTATTCTCCTTTAGACGTAAAACCATGGTACCCCTTGCTACCCTTCCCGGCGCTCGGCAGTAAGGGGATAAAACATAGGCCGTGTCTTAGTGGGGTAGCCATGTTAAACAACGTCATGGTATCTCGGTGGGCTAGCACTAAAATGCAGCATATCTTTACGCATTTGATACTGTTAGATTCGGGGAAAGCCCGGATACACATAGCTTACAAACCTCCCTTCATTCCTGTCATTCGAACTCTAAAAAGTGGAAACTGGAAGTAAATATCTGGAAGACTGAAATAATTATTTTGGAGTATGTAATATCTCTAAAAATAGTCTTTCTTCCTGGTCTTGAAGTAGTTGATTCATTTATGTTACTTGACATAAGAATAGTATATTATTGACATCAACGAAACTTTTAACTGACAACGCTACACAAACTATGTTCTGTCAACTAAACGGACCCCACCTATTGGGTTGTCCACCTGATGTTTGTCACGTGTACGTCTTCTCTGCGTTGGCGCTTTATGTTACTTAAGCTGGACCGACATTTCTGCTGTTTCATCGGGAGCCCCAGTAGCTGTTATCAGTTATGCTAAGTCAACCACAAAAGACATGTATGGGCCGAGACACGAAAACTGACCCCCACTATATTGCAAAACGAACACGTTTAAAAAAAAATACTTCACAGTCATTCAAAATTAAGATATCGTTTTTAGTTCAATCAAATATGCGAATGTGTTATCGTGTCACTGGATTGTCTGGTCAAGAATTGATTGTTTACAGGCCGTCGTCGATTAGTCGTCAAAGTACTGCTATGCTACGTCACGCAACAAACACACACTTACTTTTTATGCAAATTGTGTGAGTGGCGGGTGCTACCGGTAGGGCGGACATCACAGATTTTCGGTTATCCATTTATATCATTTTCACCTCTATTACACCCAACGGAATCTGCTTCGGCAGATAATTCAGACTGATTATCCTCTGACGTCGAGGTTTTTTGTATAGTTGATGTGATGGTTGTACCTATCCTCTCGTGTGAAGTATGCTGTTACCAGAAATTTAATATTACCGAAAATAAACCAAAAATTGACCACCGCTTTGGAAAATTAGATAATATACGGTATATTCGGCAAGTCCCCCCCCCCCCCCCACACACACACACATTAATTAATGAAGAGATTAAACAAAGATTTGCACAAAATATCTGTTACTTATTTTATCTCTCCATCAGTATTGCGAAATATCTGCTATTTAATGAAATTAGAAAAAAATAGCATTACTAGTAAGTCGCGTAATACAGTAGAAAATATTCAAAATAATTGTGGCATGTCATTTATTGTCCATAGTCCATTATCAATTTAATTCAGAATTGGTTGCAAAGGTAGAGGCAGTGTTAGGGGATCAGTCTAACGCGGATAGAAGATTCCTGAATAGACAGCAATAGGCTTTGTAAGTTCAGAACATAGAATCACAATTTTAGCATTGAGACAGGCCTGTAGCTGGGTGGGTATGGAATCTGAAAATAGTTTAGTAGCTTCTCTTCTGTTCTTCTCGTTCCAGTCATAATCTCAAGACAATTATTAATCGGCTCAATAATATACATTCTTACAAGAAATACATGTGTTGAAAAGGTTCTGTCCAACGATGCAAACCTTGTATTTACACATTTCTCAAAATGATTGATACAAGTCTCAGTTACATTGATATGCTTATTATATCTGCTGTAATATAGCTCTTGTACAACCACAAATGGTTGGAAGAGAATTAACGATTTGAAATTAGAACCGAAAACGATAATCCCCCCGGAACCTCCCCTCGGGGTAATGTGTGAGGTATTGTATGCCTGTATCGACCGCCCACTTAAAGAACGTCTTGAATTACACCCGGAGCCAGTGTCAACCGAGACGAGCCGAGACGCTTGGTTTATACCCGGCCTACCCGGCGTGTCCGGGTTATACCGCATCGCGGTGTACAGGGCAACGGGTAAACAACATGGCCGCGCCCTAGGACACTATTGTTGACTACATACAAACATGTATGTCGACATATCACGGCTTGGATTACATATTCTCTAGCTCGACATCGCACAAAAAAGGTTTGTGATCGATAGTTTATGTGAAATCAATAATTGTCATTATTTATTATATGCTGTTAATCAGTGTGGCATATATGATTTGACTTAGAGTAGACATCGGTAAAATACGATATTGATCTCAAGGCAAACGATATGAAAACGTGTGCTGATATAATGAAGCTTGTATATAACGGCAGTTAGGACACCTGTTGAAGCAACGGTCAATTGTTTCTGTAAATGTAATCTGTGTGTTAGCTGCACAATGTATTTTAGAACACTTTAAAAAACATTTTCTCGTTCTGGTCATAAATGTCTATATAATGTGTCTATAACCATTAACAGTCAAATATTGTGACACGTTGTAAGATATTTTGATTACAAACGGTGCTGTCTTGTATATTCCCGTCAGTACAAATGACCCAGGCTGGCGTGGCCTTGTGGAGTGGAGCGGTGTGTTCTTATCGATCGGTCACATGTGTGGAGTAAGCAGGGCTCATATACCCACTGTTTAAACTGTCGGATCTACAGATTACCCTCAGTGAATTTGGTGTTTAGTTACGACGGCATTGTTGTGAGTTTACACCGGAATAACCAGGTCATCTGACACCCTACACAAAGCCACGCTGACCATACATACTGTGGTACCAATGTTTGTAGAGATTTTGAACATGTATTCTAATCGTAGCGAGTGAGTATGGTTTTACGCCGCATGTAGCAATATTCCATATTTCATAATATCACGACAGGGACACTAAATGTGGGTTTTCAAGACTACCCATGTTGGGGATCGAACCTAGGTCTTCGGTGTGGTGAGCCAATTTAAGACGAGACTACCCCGCCGCCCTTCCCTTTAAGCATCGATATACATACATATATCTCCGTGTTCCGGACAGCGTTCGTCTGACATATCACTGGTGATACGAACACTACAGTTTTGTGTCATGTATATGTTGTAGGTTGGGTACTAGAGTGGACATGAAAGTGTCTTATTCTCACGATTGTCGAAACAAGCTTATGTTAAACGATCCTGTCTGAAAGATTGACAAGGTCCGTGGCGGATTTTGGTTCATCTGGCATATCCGTTTCCAACATGAAGAAAACGAAATAACATTAAGAATCCCAGATATGTGTATTTCTCGTCTCTGGAGTGATCCGAATGCACAAAATCTCCGTTTTGTATGTTGTCGAAACAATGTTTCAATTTAGGTTTGCATTGTGTTCGTTTGTTTAAAGAAATTCAAGACATTATTACATAAAAATTTTTTTTAAATGGATGGTGCCCTATTTTCCGTCACCCCGCTGTGACTGGGCTGAGTAGACTTCGACACTTGCACTTTTGTCGCGGTATGATCGTCAGTATTATCATAACGCTAACTGTTGTGAGCTATCCAGGAATAGACGCTTTGTCAGACTAGAGGCAGCTCTAAGGTGACACAGTTATCCGTGAGCATTGGAAACCTGGTCCCACTATGGAGTGTTTGTTCACCGTGTGCCGTCATTGTGACCAGCACCTGTCCACGCCCACAAGGTAGACGGGCGTAACATGAGCACAGCAGTAATATACTTGGTTATGGTTCCTTGAAATAATAATAATAATAATAATAATAATAATAATAATAATAATAATAATAATAATGAGGCTATTTCTGTAGCCTATTTCTATATCCTAGTCTATAGCCTATTCTATCCTATAGCCTATTCTATATTTCTATTTCTATAGAGTTTATGTGCAGTGTGTTGAGAAGATAAGCAATCCTGCAGAGTCCTTCGCTTGGATGAAGTCGTCTGGCCTGAAAAGTGAAACTGAAGGCTTTCTGTTTGCTGCTCAGGACCAGTCACTTTCCACTCGAAACCGTCAATGTGCGATTTTGCATCAAAATGTAAATATGAAATGTAGATTATGTAATGAATTGAATGAGGCTGTCCAACACATTGTCAGTCGATGCCCAGCTTTGGCACAGACACCGTATCTTGAGACATGATGGTGTAGCTCTATCATTTTATTACCGTCTTCGCCATGCTTGTGGTTTTGACACAGAGAGATCCATCCATGGTACGGCCCGGAATATGTAGATAAATACAAAATTCTTCGGAATAGGCTTACATTTACAGCCATAGACGTAACTAGGCCAACAAACCTGATCTTGTCCTTTTTGATAAATCCAATGAAATCATTTATATCATTGAATTTTCTGTCCCCTTTGACACTAATTGACAAGATTCAGGAAAAATATGGCAAATATGCGGACCTCGCTTTCGAAATGTCACGCTTGCATCCCAAGTACCAAGTTGTCCGACTCCTGGGAGAAGTCCTATTCGCTGTCTGGGCTGCGTGTAGAGGGGGCAAGGGCCCTGAGCTGATGATGAGCCTAACCAGCCTGACTGTGCCAGGATCACCCAAACCCTCTTTTAATCTGTTTTAATCTACTACTACTACTACTACTTCTACTACTACTACTACTACTACTACTACTAAGGCTATTTCTATAGGGCAAAATTCCACATCACCGAGGTACATGCTAAATGCGCCCACAGGTATTGTATAAGCGTTACATATTAATTGAAACAAATGGCTGCCATTATATAGATCTATCTAGCACTATAACAGAACTATGACGACATCTGTATCATAATAAAAGCGACAGAACACATTTCAATAAGAATTTTAAATCTCAATCAAAGGCGGAGTCCATTGAACGATTCCGACTATATCCATGCGTTTATGAATTACTATCAAATAGTAATGATACCAGGTTTGAGGGTATTCTGTCCCCGTGACGATCTGGGTCTTCAGCAAACCATGCTTGCCGTAGGAGGCGAATCATGGGATTGGCAGGTCAGATTCGCTGACTTGATGCTGTGTTCTCTGGTCCAGATTACTTACCGCCGAATGCGGCGTTAAACAACCCAACAAACAAACAAAACTTCAACAAAACATATCAACAGACTACAGAAATGCCACTTACACGTGAATACGCTACAGACATGTATAGAGAAGTATCCATATTGAAGGAATACGCCGATTGAATTACTCACCAGTGCGGTAATAGACAACAAACAGAACTGTCAGTAGAGTGAGTGAGTGATGCCTTTAGCAATATCACGGACTTGTATAAGTTATATAGGTCCATGGCAATATCAACAAACAAACAAGCATACATGTAACTGCGTGTATAATGCGACCGCAGCTGCCCGCCATGGTGTACAGTTGCGTGGGTACATGACCCAGCGCCAAGCTAAATAGATAAGATCTGTTCAAACAAATAGCGTCCTGCCACTCCTTGCAGTCACGTCCGACTTCAGACAGCAACTGGCACTTACGACCAATATTTATACATGTTACGACGGCATATAATTCATTCATTACACGCGTCAGTTCTGACACTGATAACGCCTCAGTAAAACCTATATTTTTTAATAACGCCAATATAAAGGATTATAGATAAGGTGAGTTTAAGCTGTTCATTCACTCACTCACCACGGTGTCTCTCCTGGCATTAAGACAAACACCAAACAGGTTCAAACTAAATTACATGACTTGAAAACAAGTGTTTTGCTGGTCTAAGTATGACAGAACTGTCTGACAATGTTTATATTTCAGCAATGCTGGTCTAAACATGACAGAACTGTCTGACAATGTGTTTATATTTCAGCAATGGTGGCCTAAGCATGACAACTTTCTGACAGTGTTTATATATCAGCAATGCTGGTCTAAACATGACAGAACTGTCTGACAAAATGTTTATATTTCAGCAAAGCTGGCCTAAACATGACAAAACTGCTGACAATGTGTTTATATTTCAGCAATGCTGGTCTAAACATGACAGAACTGTCTGACAATGTGTTTATATTTCAGCAATGGTGGCCTAAGCATGACAACTTTCTGACAGTGTTTATATTTCAGCAAAGCTGGTCTAAACATAACAGCACTGCTGACAAAATGTTTATATTTCAGCAATGCTGGTCTAAACATGACAAAACTGTCTGACAATGTGTTTATACTTAAGCAATGCTGGTCTAAACATGACAGAACTGTCTGACAATGTGTTTATATTTCAGCAAAGCTGGCCTAAACATGACAGAACTGTCTGACAATATGTCTATATTTCAGCAATGCTGGTCTAAACATGACAGAACTGTCTGACAATGTGTTTATATTTCAGCAATGGTGGCCTAAGCATGACAACTTTCTGACAATGTGTTTATACTTAAGCAATGCTGGTCTAAACATGACAGAACTGTCTGACAATGTGTTTATATGTCAGCAAAGCTGGCCTAAACATGACAGAACTGTCTGACAATGTGTTTATACTTAAGCAATGCTGGTCTAAACATGACAGATCTGCCTGACGATATGTTTATATTTCAGCAATGCTGGTCCAGGTATGAAAGATCTGCCTGATAATGTGTTTATATTTCAGCAATGCTGGTCTAAACATGACAGAACTGTCTTACAATATGTTTATATTTCAGCAATGATGGTCCAGGTATGAAAGATCTGCCTGACAATGTGTTTATATTTCAGCAATGCTGGTCTAAACATGACGGATCTGTTTCATAGTATGTTTATACTTCAGCAATACTGGTCAAGGTATGAAAGATCTGCCTGATAATGTGTTTATATTTCTGCAATGCTGGTCTAAACATGACAGATCTGTCCGACAATGTGTTTATATTTCAGCATTGGTGGTCCAGCTATGAAAGATCTGCCTGACAATGTGTTTATATTTCAGCAATGCTGGTCTAAACATGACAGATCTGTCTGACAATGTGTTTATATTTCAGCAATACTAGTCCAGCCATGACATGATCTGTTTGACAGTGCTTATAGTGCGTTAAACAAAAAAACCCAACAAATGCTAGTCTAAACATGACAGATATGTCTGACAATATGTTAAATTAATGTTTCAGCCATACTGGTCCCGCCATGACAGATCAGTCTGACAGTGTGTTAATGTTTCAGCAATAGTGTTGCCGCCATGACTGATCAGTCTGACAGTGTGTTAACGTTTAAGCAATACTGGCCCTGCCATGACAGATCAGTCTAACAGTCTGTTAATGTTTCAGCAATACTAGCCTCGCCATTACAGATCAGTCTGACAGTGTGTTAACGTTTCAGCAATACTGGTGCCGCCATGACAGATCTATCTGACAGTGTGTTAAAGTTTCAGCAATAGTGGACCCGCCATGACAGATCAGTCTAAGAGTCTGTTAATGTTTCAGCAATAGTGGTCCCGCCATGACAGATCAGTCTAAGAGTCTGTTAATGTTTCAGCAATACTGACCCTGCCATGACAGATCTATCTAACAGTGTGTTAATGTTTTAGCAATACTGGTCCCGCCTTGACAGATCTATGTAACAGTGTGTTAATGTTTCAGCAATAATGGTCCCGCCATGACAGATCAGTCTAACACTGCGGTTTGGTACGCGTCATGACCAGTCAAGTAACCCGGAAGAAGCCATTGATCCGGGCACCTGCAATATGGCGAAAGCGCGTGTGTCGGTGTCGGGAGGGGGTGTTGCTATGTTTCGGCATCCCCCTGCTCCCCCCTTCAGCCATGCTCCTGGGGTTTGCCTTCATGACGCAGCCAGACATCGGGGTCTTCCATATATGTGGCATCGTCCTCACATGCGTGTCGGTAGTGTGCATCACCGCAGCAATAGTGATAAGACTGGCGCACCGACTCGCTCCTTCCACACACATTAACCAAGTGAACAAGTCGGACACAGAGGATCCTGGGCTCCACACACCCAGACTGAGGCCGCCTTCATCCTCGTCTATGGCTTCCGGAAACGGAAACAGCGATGTGAAGATGCGCATGGTCAAACTATCCCCATCTTCTTTAGCAGCGGAATCGGAGCTACCCTACCGCCCCAGGAAGAAGCGGAAGCGGAAACGCGGTGAAAAGTCTAAAACTATTCTTCCGCCGGTGAAGGAGGAGGATGGGCGTGCAAGGTTCGAGCAGTCCATTAAAGAGAGGGAGAAGGACGGGGTTAGGAAGCTCCACAAACGGACTAAGTCTGAGAGTACGAAAGGATTTGAGAAATTCGTGCCACCTGCTGCACCACCAAAACTAGCACTGACTAAAAAACATTTACGAATGTTGGGTCTCCATGACAACCAAGGTTCTGAGGAGAGTCTCCAGATGAAGAGATCCATGTCGATGTCAGATATTGGAGACTCGGCCTCGGAGCGTCTCAGTGTTGACTTCCCCGATACGCCCTCGGGGGGCAGGAGGTGAGTAAACCGGCTCTGGGGTAGTAGTGGTTAAGGGTGAAACGATACACCGATATTCCGATGCATCGCGAGACTTGACCCACGATACGATATACGATAAACATAGGCCCATTTATCGATACGCCACGATACGGAACGCAAATCTCAAGTACAGCGTTTCCTCGCTATTGTGCCTTTCAATAAACCGCTAACTTGGTTATAGCGCGCGGTAACGCATGGCTCCCCAAAACGTACTTACATTTTTAATAAGCTCAGGTTTTACACCGACAGATGTTTTTCCCCATCTCAAAAAACATTATCAGCTGATCCCCGCAAGCACATAACAATGGAAATACCTGTCAGCAAATCCGAACTGAAGTACGCAATTCAATACCATTATCACACTATCTTGTTATTAAAACGTGTTCATTGTATATCTGGACTTGTGTTTGTAATATATTTTAATTTTTTTTTCAAAATTTCATTTTATATTGTTTTCATTAAGTTATGTGAAATCGTGTGTGAAGAGATACAGAAACCACGGTCAGATTACCGCTTTTGACGCATTGCAGCGAACTAAAGTTGCTATAGAATGGATACATGTATTAAAAATGCCATACTTTGACTCGTTAAAAGTCATATTTATGGCAATTTGGCTAATATATGTCAACATAACGTTTTCGCAATCGAAATACATGTAGCACGGGAAGTCCCTAGGGTGACTGGTCAAATTGATCCATGCGTAAAAATATCCTGCAACAGCAATCAACAGTACCAAAATCCTACACTTGTGGTTCTTATGATTTTAAATACATATATAGTAAAAGCTGCAACTAAGGTAACACGATATTGGAATATATTATTCCTGATAAAATAATAATTTCAGATACAATTTCTTCGACCATTGCATCAAAATTCTTTGACGTTGTATCACTGGTGGAGCACATTATTAATTATTTTCTGGTGTTTGAACTTTGAATTGTTTTTAAGGAAAGTTAGAGAAAGTTCCACTTTGAAGCTGAACAACTTCAGTAGTCTTGTTATTATAAAATAATTTTGACTGTTCCAAAATCATGAAAGGTTCAATGATGACATGCTTTAAGTCTTGTTTTTTTTATCATTGCGTATCGAGATACGTACCGTATCGTGACCAGAATATCGAGATGCGTATCGTATCGTGACCTTCCTGTATCGTTGCAGCCCTAGTAGTGGTTGTGGTAGTCGGGGTGGTTGTGGTAGTCGGGGTGGTTGTGGTAGTAGGAGTAGTGTATTGGGATGAGTCATCGCACCTGGTGATGTGGGTCATCGCACATGATGATGTGGGTCATCGCACCCGATGATGTGGGTCATCGCACCCAATGATGTCGGTCATTGCACCCGATGATGTCGGTCATCGTACCCGATGAGGTGGGTCATAACACCCTGATGATCAGGGTAATCGCACCCGATGATATGGGTCATCGCACCAGATGATGATGTGGATCGTTGCTCATGCTGCCAAGGTTCATGCACCGTTATATGGCTGGAACATTTGCTGGCTGCGGCACTGCGCAACATACACTCCTTTATCCTTGGAATTGTAAATAGAAAAGAACTTGCAGTGTGGCTTAACGAATCTGCCCATCCTCGGTGTAGCATTACTCTTCTAATGTCAGATTTTTGTGGATGCAATAATTCATATCAATGTTACATGTATATTCTAACATTTAGGTAAAATACTGTCGTATTGAATGTGTGTAACCATCAATGTTTATTATATTCTAGATCTAAGCTCACTTAACAAACGGGAATGCTGCATGTCCATATATGGGTAATGTTTTAGTGACGTAATGTAGCCCACTAGTCACGTGACGTAGTTGTAGACGTTGTCTAACCATGTAGCATCTTGCATCTGTAGAGAGGACGAAGACCACGACATTGATATCATCGACCTGTAAGCGAACCTGGTGGTGACTCCTGGTAGTAAGATAGTCGGGGCTACGTGCTTCATTGTCCCCTCGGTTGTTCCCCGTGTTTCCCCTCTCTCCCACCCCCTCTTGAGAAATGTTCACGTTTGACTAACATATTTCAGTTCTAGCGTTATCAGAACTAACACAATTCACCGTTTCCGTGCACGCTGCAGTTGAACATTGTACTTGGTTAGTGTTTCGATTCTGCTAATCCTTCACTCACATTTGTTTTGGTTAATATTGATAAGTTCATTTATATAAGTTCGGAACAGCTCTGTCGACCTGAAGCGAGTATTGAGTACAATTAGGTGGAACCGAAGCGAGTATTAAGTACAGCTCTGTCGACCTGAAGCGAGTATTGAGTACAGTTATGTGGAACCGAAGCGAGTATAAAGTACAACTCTGTCGACCTGAAGCGAGTATTGAGTACAGTTATGTGGAACCGAAGCGAGTATTAAGTACAGCTCTGTCGACCTGAAGCGAGTATTGAGTACAGCTCTGTGGACCTGAAGCTTGGGTACATTTAGATATTCTGATTTCGGCCAAAGAACATTCATACATACAGAAAGATACTAGGGGCCATTGCTGTAGTACCCAATGGGACAACTACACCTTCATCATTATGTATAGATCACCGTCGGCGATGACAAATGACAGCAGTTGCTGGTTGATGTTTCAGGGAGGACGATGGCAGCATCACGGCCCGGCCTGTGTTGGTGCACACGTCGGCTGCTAGAACCGGCGTCAGGGCTTCCAAATTTGCATCGGTGTTATGACATCCTGTGGACCTCGAAATCAAGAACGGGTATCAACCAGTTTGCATGATGCATAACTATCTGGTGGACATGTTTGTTTTCAGTTGTTTTTTTGTGTCAAGTTAAAACCTCGGCTTCCAGTGCACGTAGACACAGACAGCATACCGCTCCTGTATCTTGACAGAGCTGGGACACATGTAGACACAGACAGGACACCGCTTCTGTATCTTGACAGAGTTGGGACACATGTAGACACAGACAGCTCCTGTATCTTGACAGAGTTGGGACACATGTAGACACAGACAGTCCTGCATCTTGACGGAGTTGGGACACATGTAGACACAGACAGCACTATGCGTCTGTATATTGATAGAGCTGGGACACATGTAGACAAAGACAGTACACCGCTTCGGTATCTTGACAGAGTTGGGACACATGTAGACACAGTACACCGCTTCGGTATCTTGACAGAGTGGGACACATGTAGACACAGACAGTCCTGCATCTTGACAGAGTTGGGACACATGTAGACACAGACAGCTCCTGTATCTTGACAGAGTTGGGACACATGTAGACACAGTACACCGCTTCGGTATCTTGACAGAGTTAGGACACATGTGGACACAGGCAGTTCTGCATTTTCACAGAGTTGGGACACATGTAGACACAGACAGTCCTGCATCTTGACAGAGTTGGGACACAAGTAGACACAGACAGTCCTGCATTTTCACACAGTTGGGACACATGTGGACACAGGCAGCTTCTGTATCTTGACAGAGTTGTGACACATGTAGACACAGACAGTCCTGCATTTGACAGAGTTGGGACACATGTAGACACAGTACACCGCTTCGGTATCTTGACAGAGTTAGGACACATGTGGACACAGGCAGTCCTGCATTTTCACAGAGTTGGGACACATGTAGACACAGACAGTCCTGTATCTTGACAGAGTTGGGACACAAGTAGACACAGACAGTCCTGCATCTTGACAGAGTTGGGACACATGTAGACACAGACAGTCCTGCATCTTGACAGAGTTGGGACACATGTAGACAAAGACAGCACACCGCTCCTTCATCTTGACAGAGTTGGGACACATGTAGACAAAGACAGCACACCACTCCTTCATCTTGACAGAGTTGGGACACATGTAGACACAGTACACCGCTTCGGTATCTTGACAGAGTTAGGACACATGTGGACACAGGCAGTCCTGCATTTTCACAGAGTTGGGACACATGTAGACACAGACAGTCCTGCATCTTGACAGAGTTGGGACACATGTAGACAAAGACAGCACACCGCTCCTTCATCTTGACAGAGTTGGGACACATGTAGACAAAGACAGCACACCGCTCCTTCATCTTGACAGAGTTGGGACACATGTAGACAAAGACAGCACACCGCTCCTTCATCTTGACAGAGTTGGGACACATGTAGACAAAGACAGCACACCACTCCTTCATCTTGACAGAGTTGGGACACATGTAGACACAGTACACCGCTTCGGTATCTTGACAGAGTTAGGACACATGTGGACACAGGCAGTCCTGCATTTTCACAGAGTTGGGACACATGTAGACACAGACAGTCCTGCATCTTGACAGAGTTGGGACACATGTAGACAAAGACAGCACACCGCTCCTTCATCTTGACAGAGTTGGGACACATGTAGACAAAGACAGCACACCGCTCCTTCATCTTGACAGAGTTGGGACACATGTAGACAAAGACAGCACACCGCTCCTTCATCTTGACAGAGTTGGGACACATGTAGACAAAGACAGCACACCACTCCTTCATCTTGACAGAGTTGGGACACATGTAGACACAGTACACCGCTTCGGTATCTTGACAGAGTTAGGACACATGTGGACACAGGCAGTCCTGCATTTTCACAGAGTTGGGACACATGTAGACACAGACAGTCCTGCATCTTGACAGAGTTGGGACACATGTAGACAAAGACAGCACACCGCTCCTTCATCTTGACAGAGTTGGGACACATGTAGACAAAGACAGCACACCGCTCCTTCATCTTGACAGAGTTGGGACACATGTAGACAAAGACAGCACACCACTCCTTCATCTTGACAGAGTTGGGACACATGTAGACACAGTACACCGCTTCGGTATCTTGACAGAGTTAGGACACATGTGGACACAGGCAGTCCTGCATTTTCACAGAGTTGGGACACATGTAGACACAGACAGTCCTGCATCTTGACAGAGTTGGGACACATGTAGACACAGACAGTCCTGCATCTTGACGGAGTTGGGACACATGTAGACACAGACAGTCCTGCATCTTGACAGAGTTGGGACACATGTAGACACAGACAGTCCTGCATCTTGACAGAGTTGGGACACATGTAGACAAAGACAGCACACCGCTCCTTCATCTTGACAGAGTTGGGACACATGTAGACAAAGACAGCACACCGCTCCTTCATCTTGACAGAGTTGGGACACATGTAGACAAAGACAGCACACCGCTCCTTCATCTTGACAGAGTTGGGACACATGTAGACACAGACAGTCCTGTATCTTGACAGAGTTGGGACACATGTAGACACAGACAGTCCTGCATCTTGACAGAGTTGGGACACATGTAGACACAGACAGTCCTGCATCTTGACAGAGTTGGGACACATGTAGACAAAGACAGCACACCGCTCCTTCATCTTGACAGAGTTGGGACACATGTAGACAAAGACAGCACACCGCTCCTTCATCTTGACAGAGTTGGGACACATGTAGACAAAGACAGCACACCGCTCCTTCATCTTGACAGAGTTGGGACACATGTAGACAAAGACAGCACACCGCTCCTTCATCTTGACAGAGTTGGGACACATGTAGACAAAGACAGCACACCGCTCCTTCATCTTGACAGAGTTGGGACACATGTAGACAAAGACAGCACACCGCTTCTTGATACTTGAGAGACTGTGTGGCAGCACCACAATGATGCGGTTACAGACGATGTTTCAGCAGGACCGCGTGTGTGGCATCCTTAGAAGACATGGAAGGGAAGCAGAGGCATCAGCTGAAGACGTCATGCATAAGAAAGATCAATTCGTTTGAAAAGGGTTAAAATCCAATTCATTTGCTCAAAATGTCGGGATTAGAAAATAAGATTTGCATGTGTTTATTTTAAGCTATGGTACATTTCAAACTGCTGAACTACATTATCTCATAACAGTTTGTGAAAGTCAAGATGATGACTGCAACCACTTTGATTGACTATTGTGGTGCATGTGTCCGGTGATCCGTGTGTCCGGTACTTGCAGTGTCCACAATTCACAACATTTCGGGTACATGGCTAGATCATGTGTGGTTTGTATTACACTAACGTGCTTAAATGATTACGTTGTATATGAGTTAGATCAGGTATTTTAACCAAATTTCGTTCCATTTGTCTATTTTGAGTACACAACACTAACCTTTCTTACTAACCATTCTGGAACAAATGTATCGACGGACCTACAGGATGAAGCATGGCAGGACAGAACAGAAGCTAACAGTTAAAGGTTCACTCGTAGAGAAGTCTCCCACGATGCAATCCATGGCGGACGATGCTTTGTTTACAGGCTACCGTCGCCTGGCTTGTGTACTGCTGTGCGGGACATACAATACATACTTGCCTTTGTATGCAAACTGTATGAATGGTGGGTGCTACCGGTAGGGCAGGACTTGCTTACTTTCGCAAACACCGGTTGTCATCACTGATTTTCATCGGTCCATTCATATAATTTCCACAGGTATTTTGCCCTTTACACCAAAGGGAATCTGTTTCGGCGGATAATCTAAACTCAGTCTGTTTATTCTCTTGCATTGGCAATTTATATTTATTGACCTTTCGGAGCAGGATGAGTGGAAACTGGAAGTTGGACGTTGAGACACAGTTACGCGTTGTGCTCCAGATCTAGCCTCACGTACTGCCTTCTTCTACGACGGGTTTATCCCTGCTCCCATACCATCTGTGATATCATTGCTTTATACCACTGCTAACATCTCCCGTTTAACCAATGTCACATATGTGATATGAATGTGACCAAAGGCACACTATCATGTGATAACACCGTTTTCATTGAATGGGAGATTGGGATAAAGACTATATGTAATTAACTATCAGTACATGTAATGATATACATTGCATGCATATTTTTTCATGTCAAGGGTGAATCTGGTTGTATGAAATGTTTTGTCAATGATTTTGTGCATGTTCATGTTTGTACAGCATTTCAAAAATACCTGGTGAATAAATAACACATGTTGTAAAGTGCTTTAAAGACCCTCGTCTCGGTGCATGCGATATCTGTATGTAGCCTCTCAATGTCAAGGGGTGTTGCTCTCCTACGTCGTAATGATACAAACGTCAAAGAAAGAATCACGTAGTTCCAACAAACCTACACCTGACCTCATAAATGCTTGCTCACGTGACTCTTATCATCAAGCCGTGACAAAGGTCGTAAATGCTCCAGTTCGGTAAAACCTGCGTGCAGCTGACGGACCATGGAGCATGAATCCACGATCAGACTATTCTGACACGTCTAAGGGACGCAACTCTTGCACAGCGATTTAATGTGTTAGATCCCTGAACACGCATGTAGTTGTGGTCTTGCCCTGAACCGTTGCTGTTAGACCCCACAGACCAGCTCATGCAGCGTTCACACGAGACAAGGAAGTGCCATAAAATACTCCTCCACATCCCCGGGATGGTTAGACGTTTCCCGTCTGTGTTCCGAGCAACACGCTGGGTTAACTGTGAAGGGCAACTGACGCACCAGTCGTTCACAGCCTCTGTTCTGATGCCTCGCGTGACGTTGATTAAACAAATCTGCCAGATATTCCCAACGGACAAGCCAAAAAAAGAAGGAATACATTTCTATTGAAGACAGTTGTGTTTAGTGAGTACAAAGGTCGGGAATGGTACAATCCATGCGAGAATCTCGGATCATCTTTGTCAATGACATGAATGTAGTGTTGATACTGAATGCCGATTGTCACGTATTTACAGACTGCCGTCCTATAGCTGGAATACTGCTAACTGCGGCGTTAAACAACAAACAGAAACTGTTAAAGGTGGCAAGTTGGATTCAAGCTGTTCAAACACCACCATCTGCGTACTCCATGTTTATGACTCCCACAAATCTGACGTTAAACGATATCCTTCAATAACCCACAGATACTTATGTAACTAGGGGAAGCTCACGGAACACAAGGTGTGACTTACACAGTGGTGTCACAGTCCGACATTGTGGTGGATTGTAACATTGTTATAGAAACAAGTTGCATGTTACTTCACCGTGTCAGCGATTAGTACGGAAGCCTTTTAGGGCCATTTTTTTAAATTATTTTTTTTCGATACTTTCTTGAAATTTCAAGATCCTAAGTTGAAATTTCAAGATAGAATCTTGAAATTTCAACTTAGTATCTTGAAATTTCAACTTCTTGAAATAGAAGTATAGTATCTTGAAATTTCAACTTAGTATCTTGAATTTCAACTTAGTATCTTGAAATTTCAACTTCTGTATCTTGAAATTTCAACTTCTATATCTTGAAATTTCAACTTAGTCTCTACGGAAGCCTTTTAGGGCCATGTGTTTTTTATTTTTTCGATACTTTCTTGAAATTTCAAGATACTTTGATGAAATTTCAAGATAGTATCGAAAAAACCCCAAAAGACATGGCCCTAAAAGGCTTCCGTAGATTAGAGATATATACATATTTCTGAACTAAACGGCCGCCTCCGTAACTGCCCGGAGAGCGAAAGGTCCGGGGTTCGATCCCCGGCCGCGTCGTGCCAAAAGACGTTAAAAGACGGTTCTTGATGTTACCATGTTTGGAGATCGGCATTAATGGGTTCAACAAGGACCGGTCGGCTCGTATACTGTGTCGTATACTGGGTATTCATGTTAAACTGCAGCATGGTATCTCACTGGGCTAGCACAATAACATCGACATCAGTCCGGACTAGTACGAGCAGCCACAAACACACGTACATGCACGTCGCTAAATAAGTGCAATAATCTTGACCGCGACGTTAAACCCCACTTCACCTCACCTCTGAACTAAACACACGCATACACGCGATACCTGGCTTGAATTCACTCACAGTTAATCTGTTGCGTGAGTTGTAAACGACACATGCAATCATTAGACCATATAGCTACATCCTGCATGAGGCTGCTGTGACGTAAGCGACAGTGGCGACAGATGGGACGACGACAGTTGCGGCACACGTCATGTCCGCGAGTGTATCTGGAGGTCGATACAGTATCATGGATAACTATGGCTGCTGGTGAAAGGTGGATTATATTTATACAGCAAGAAGACCTGGTATTGCCAGTACAACAGCTACTATCGCTGGCCGACCTGGTCTGGTAATGAGAGGTAGGTGTGTAGATCTCCTAGCGGTCTTCGGATGTTTCCTAGTCAGACACACAGGTATTCCGGAAGCTCCACGCAGTGTATGTGCGAGGGGCGTGTTTATATGCAACCGTAGTCATTATATTGAAGGGGCCCTGCAGTGTGACGAGTTTATGTCCGTATCGTTGAAAACGTTCCTACAGATGTCAGTGGCATAACGTGTGTACATTGCATAACGTGAGACTGGTGCCTGTTTGTATGTACCGAGTATGCTCGTGATGCATCTGTGTAGTTCCAACTGACGGGAAGGTTTCGTTTATAGATGCTCAAGGAAATATATTGTATGTTCTAATTCCTCCCAAATCATACTGATCACTGACATCAATAACGACGGATAATACACATGCATAGAAAGTGACTATCTAGTTTGAGTCTGTAAAACCCTAGTCACACTAGAAGCGGAATGATCCGGAATGTCGTCGGACTGAACATTCTTTGTTTATTCCTGGATATTCGAAGTGCATTCTAAAACTTCTGACTTCATTCTGAGTGCATTCCAAATATTCGGGCCCATTCTTGTGGCCGGCCCAAATGTTTTGCTGATGCTTAAAACTTTCGAGGTGTATTCGAAGTGATGAAATATCAAACGGCATTCGAAGTGTATTCTAACTACACTCTGACTGCATTCTAAATATTCTATATCGAAACGCCAACCCACTTCAAATCCTGTCCGAATGCCCCGAATGCGCCTCGAATGAGCCGGAATCTCGATTGCTGCCGGTATCTACTTCGATATTGAAAGAATTCAGCTAGAATGCACTTCGAACGATTCATGTTACATTCTAAGTACATTCGAAGTACATTCTAAGTATTCGAGCTGCATTCTGTTTGAATTCTTGGACGTTCGAACCATATTCGGCGGCCATTCCGGGAGTGTTCTGACTGCATTCGAGGTGAATTCGTACAGCATTCGAGGCACCTTCAGACCGGTATTCGGGCAGCAATCGAACCGCACTCGTATGGCATTCGAAGTGCATTCTAAATATTCTGACTGCATTCTAACAGCATTCTAAATATTCCTACTGTGTTCCAACTACATTCGAGCTGGATTCGAGAGCTGATACACCCGGAATGTGCAAGAATCATTCGAGGCGGGTTCGCTGCGCATTGTAAGTATTCGAACGGCATTCATACAAAGCTTGGTCAATTTTAAATTCCCTCCCGAATACGGCACGAATTTTGAAAATTCTTCATTCCGACTGGTTCCGCTTGATTCCTGCTGATTCCGAATAAGTGTGACGGGGGTATTACAAACATTCGTATGCACGGCTATGCCAATACAGGGGCATGGCTATTAGTGACATAAACGTAATCACTTTTATCTGGGGTTCACCCCGATTTTGTTTCTAGGTTTGTCAGCACCATACCCGTGCTCGTGGGTTTCACCGAAGTGTTAAACGTCTGAGACCTGCATCACTTCGGGCTTTCCTCCCAAATTAAGCTGACACGCCGTGATATAACTGGAATACTGTTAAAAGCGGCGTTAAACCCAACTCACTCACTCACTTTTATCTGCTACATCTGTGTCTATGAATATATGTGTTGCACGTAGCATAGTGGGGGTGCGTGTGTCTGCCAAGACCACTGAATAGTGGTGTGAGTGTTAGTCTAGATCGTTGAATAGTGGAGTGAGTGTGTATGTCTAGATCATTGAATAGTGGTGTGAGTGTGTGTGTGTCTATTTCATTGAATAGTGATGTGAGTGTGTGTGTGTCTAGATCATTGAATAGTGATGTAAGTGTGTGTATCTAGATAATTGAATGGTGGAGTAAGTGTGTGTGTCCAGATCATTGAATAGTGGTGTGTGTGTGTCTAGATAATTGAATAGTGGTGTGAGTGTGTGTCCAGATAATTGAATAGTGATGTGAGAGTGTGTGTGTCTAAATCATTGAATAGTGGAGTGAGTGTGTGTGTGTCTAGATAATTGAATAGTGATGTTAGTGTGTGTATCTTGATAATTGAAGGTGATGTGAGAGTGTGTGCATCTAGATCGTTGAATAGTGGAACGAGTGTGTGTATCTAGATCATTGAAACGTGGAGGGAGTGCGTGTGTCTAGATCATTGAATAATGGTGTGTGTTTTAAGATCATTGTATAGTGATGTGAGTGTATGTGTCTAGAATATTGAATAGTGATGTGAGTGTGTGCCTAGACAACTGAATCGTGGATTGAGTGTGTGTTTTTAGATAATTGAATAGTGGTGTGAATGTGTGTCCAGATCATTGAATAGTTGAGTGAGCGTGTGTTTTTAGATCATTGAATAGTCGTGTGAGTGTGTGTGTGTAGATAATTGAATAGTGATGTAAGTGTATGTCTATAGATCATTGAATAGAGGTGTGAGTGTGTGTGTAGATAATTGAATAGTAGAGTGTGTGTGTGTTTCTAGATGATTGAATAGTGGAGCGAGTGTGTGTATCTTGATCATTGAATAGTGGTGTGAGTGTGTATGTCTAGATCATTGAATAGTGATGTAAGTGTATGTCTCTAAATCATTGAATAGAGGTGTGAGTGTGTGTGTAGATCATTGAATAGTAGAGTGAGTGTGTGTATCCAGATGATTGAATAGTGGGGCGGATGTGTGTATCTAGATCATTGAATATTGGTGTGAGCGTGTGTGTCTAGATCATTGAATATTGGTGTGAGTGTGTGTGTCTAGATCATTGAATACTGCTGAGTGATTTCCGTGTGGACGGGTTCTCTACACTTTCAAGCAATGTCAGCAGGGAAGAAAGGTCCCGTATACACCGTGTAGTGGCGGTAATGTCTAGAACGCCACACAATAAGAAATCGATCGTTGTATCGATCAATGAACATGTATTGGTAAGCCATTCAGTTGCATAGATGGCAGCGGGTTGTGCTGTTTAGTGAGAACGGAAAACAACTTGACGCTCGTGAGAACGACCGCTGTAACCTCTGTGAGTATTACATGTGTTACAGACTTTGACATTATTCCACAGTTCAACCGATGCTGATCGTCTGGATGAGGCGCTGTTACATTGTCATCAGATTACGGTTGAAGTATAGACTATGGTAATAGAGAAGACACGGTTTCCTGAATATCTGTTCTTCTATTGAAAGACAGTAAGTGTATAAATACCTAACAACTCTTTGATTGGGGATAAACTAACCTAGTTCACAAGTAACTATCAAGACAAAAGGGACGCCATATCACTGTCACCAATCGGTGGCAATAGTGACGCATCACCGACCTGAGAGATATTGTGTGAGAAACGCTTTTTTCAGATCTTATCTATATAATAATACTTATCTTCAAACCACATTTTGCCGGTCAAATAACAATCATTCATTTCCTTACAATTTAGTCTTCAGACACAATCAGGCATATATATATTTATAACGCTATCAATTGCTTCATAGATTAGACCAATAATAAAAGCTTCAGTTTATTTTCAGTTTATTGTCGATAACTGCATGTAATCTGCAGAATCCATAGGCTCAGCTGTCGCTAAGGTTGATGTGTCACCATTGACAACCCATACACAAGACTGTACACTCTGTGCCAGCAAGACACACCAGCAGCATGCCATCGGCTCATCGATTATGTCGACAGCGATATTCAGTATGACAAACAAATATTCATTCACAGCGACTGGACGGTAAATTTCTAGTGATGACAATCTGTAGGTTTTGTAGCCTCAGTTGTAGCAACAGCTCCGTACTGAAAGTAGTCTTGTGGCGTCCCCTGGTGATATTGAAGCAGTGTCGTGTTTACAGTAGCGCTAAAGGATGCAATCGTTGAGGTGAATATCCGAGCAGTGTAAATGTCTTGGTAACAAAATATTTTGAATTTTAAATATGTATTTTACGATATGTGAATGAATGGTGTCTCCACCGCTATATCCACTAACAAAGGATCTTCAGCAATATGCCTGGGACACCTCTCATGCAGTGACAAAACCTTACCTGTGTTTAACTTTATAAAATTAAAAAAAACAAAACACTTTGGCAAAACATCTTAAATTGGATACAGTCTAATCACGTAGGCCGATGCACTGCATGGGGGATTTCTTTCCTTTTGAGTGTGAGACTACATCCTCTGATATATGAGTTGTTGCCTTTATGGGAGTAGAATAGAGAGAGTTCATCTCCTCGCCCCTTGACTGCTGCCTTCTCTGGATCCTTATTGTAGTGTATATTTAAACCTACCAGATATTTGACTTTTTCTCAATAAGAGGTAGTTATTGTTATTTTAAACTTCTCACTGACCAATCGAAAATGAGTATTTTCCAAATTCCATTATGTATATTAGTTACTTCTTTCTGTGAAAGTTGCATATCTATTTCGGTGTTCATTGTCTGACAATCAAACAGAAAGATGTGTTATTTTAGATTCATCTGTATGTTTCTACATTTAGAGTGTTAATGATGAGAGAGAAGACATTTAAATACAGAGAGTGTATGACCCTGCCAGCAGCACTACCTGTGGGTCATCGGGAATCCAAGGCCTGTGTATTGTGACCTTCATTAGGTTTGACAATAGATGAATGTTTAGTCTATAAATAATCAGATGTACTTTGCTGAACATGCATAATGTTAGCTGATCAGCGCCTCGCCGGTGTTCATCAGTCCCCCCCAACGTGGTGAACGTCTGTGACTACAACAACGTTACAACTGACGAGTTTCAAGCTGTGGTCGTTAATGAGGTACTAATATATTTGTGTACTTTCTACTACTGACCGCCTCCGTTATCTAGTGGTAGAACGTCCGCCTCGAGTGCGAAAAGTAAGGGGTTTGATCCGCGGCCGCATCATTCTAAAAGATGGTACTTGCTGTTACCATTTTTGCTCGATATTAGGGGGATAAAACATGGACTGGTTGGCTCGGAGTCATTTTTCTGTGTCTTGGTATTCATGTTAATTTCAGGCATGGTATCTCAGTGGGCTAGCACTATAAAATCGGCATTAGTCCGGACTAGTACAGAAACATCTCTAGAAAAGAAAAATGGCATTAGAGAGGGAAATGTGTAGAAGTTGTTCCAATTTATTAATAATTAGGTATGTGTTTTACAAGTAGATTTACTTGGTCAAATAAAGCACATAACATTGCATTGCAATCCAGGATCTTTTTGTAGGCATATTAAAAAGTCTTAGAGTTTGGGACAATATTACACATGATGTTTACTTTAAAATCTTTGATACAAAACCCAGCTCGATTCTATTGTATGGATAAAAAATTTGGGGCCTAGAACATTTGGATGTTATTGAAAAGATACATTTATATCCATGTAAAACGTTCTTGGGTAAAATCTAGCACAGAAAATAGGGTATATGGTGAATGCGGAGGCGTTCCCACGTATATCTATTGTTGTTTAGAGGCTGTTAAATACTGTTAATAAGTTAATAAATATATAAAGATTGGCCACAGCATTTTTACAGCCGTTTGACACAGGCCTTTAAAGATATGTATAGCCCAATATGGCATGGTTCTTTGTCCAGTTCGAGAAAAGCAAATTGCTACACGTCATTTAAGACTACTGTATTACTAGAACCTTATCTATTAAGTGTAAATATACATTAGTTCAGAACAGCTCTTCTCGATTTTGGGCAGATATGAAGGTATTGTTTGAGAACATATACTTTGTAGGATTTGTAAAACTGACTGTATTGAAGATGAATATCACTTTTTATGTGTATGCCCAGTGTATAATGATTTCAGATCAAAATATCAAAATAAATATTTCTACAACAACCAAAATGGTATATTTTGTAAATTAATGACATGATACTACAGAAACAATGAGAAATGTATCTATGTTCATTTATTATGCAATGACACTAGAAAATGCATGAATTTGTAACCCGCCCAAACAATGAATGTACTGTAGGCCTTTGGGCCTCATCTGTACCATGAATAAAGATTGATTGACAGGACGACCTATAGTTACCTCCTACCAAAGTTATCATGATGATGATGAAGATGATAATGATGATGATGTGGTATTGGTCAGGTTTAGACGATTCACGATCTGTAGGCGGGACTTAACAATGGGTGCTCCAACCTTCGTGACATATATGATTCATTACTCTCATTGTCAATTTGCTTCACCCATCATTGACCTCCCCTTGAGAATATATCCCCACCATGGTAACGTCGTCGTCATCTTCCCTGTCTCCTCATCAATATGTCATCAAGCTAACGTATTAAAGGCACCAGTAAACTAACATCATTAGAAAAGGGGACTGAAAACATTGAAAAGAAACATTTTGTCGATCGACTTAAATGATTTGAGGCTAGAACTACCCTGAATCGGGTCATGATTCAAGCAGTGTTAAGACCTGTAGCACACACATGGGGGGAGAACCGCCCTCAAAGTGTCTCAGGTTGACTGAAACATAGCATTTAACACCTTTCAATAAGCGTATGCAATGTTTAAAACATTTCCACTCTGCGTCTCCTCCCGTCTGTCGACCTGCTGACTGGTTAAACAATCTGTGGTGCCGTCAATCACGATCAGTTTCCGAGGCCGCGGTATATTTATGACGTCCGTGTCTTATGTGTATCAATACTGCCTAGTGACAACGACTCCGGGAAATAACTCCCTTCAATTCCTACACGAGACTACTGCGTTTTCCTTAAGTACAGCTTAGTGTTTGATACTCTCATGAATAGTCTGCTAGTTTAGGCGTTATTAATGGAATCTGTTGAATAAGAATCGCCAGCACCTCTGTACCCACCCGTAAAACCCGGCCCACGTCGCTCTAACGCTCTATCGACCCAGTCGGTCGGGGCAGCAGAGAAACGGAGCGGAACGATACGGCGTTATGGATCTAGCTCCTTTGTGCAGGCGCAGCGGATGGTTACTAATGCAGGACTAGCGTGAACTAGTTCCCGAGTTAAATGACAGCTTACTTCGATACCCAAAGGTCGAACGTGGATCTGTATGACTTGGATCTGATGTCTGTGGCTTGTGGATCTGTGAGACACGTACCTTCCTTGTGTGAAGGAGAATCCCGTCGTGTCTGGTATGTATGTCGGCACGTGTAATGATGGACACACGGATGCATGTGCAGATGTTCATACAATATGTCGGTGTGATGTACAGTTATGTGTGATGTAGGCTGCGAGGTGGGAGCTATGCCTTGCAGTATTATATTAATGTTCCTTGATATTTGTGTTGGCAATACAAGGTAGGTGTTTCATGTATGCCTAGAACACAATTTCGGTACAAATGGATGGATGGAGGGACTTATATTACATATACGTGCAGCGTTTCTTGTCTTTACTTTTACCTGGTTTTATATACCTTTGGTTGTGTAAGTCTAACAATTGTAGAGAACAGTTTAATAATAGACGATTACGTGAAGCCGAGTTGAGATCTCTCACCACAGTTGTGGCTGTCTGCCAGTATCTCAATGCTCTACAAACATGTGGGGCTTGAAACAAATATATAAATAGGCTCAACAAATAGGAATAGTTTGAGCAGATTGAAAACACGAGAATGGCAACTAGTCACGTGTTATGTTATACAGTGTTGCCAGCAGCCGGTATGTACACTTTGCCCTGATCCTGTATGCATGATAGCGTGATAAATGGCTCGGTAGATAATATCACCATAAACACCTTTCCTTAGTGTCGTTGGCAGTACTGCAAAAAGTACAGAATACAGTAAACTACGGTTATAACGAATACGCTTATAACGAACTGACCGATATAACGAACTTATTTTTTAGTCCCGGCCATTTGTTGTATATATGCTGTATATATGCTTATAACGAACTACGGTTATAACGAACTAAAATGAGTGGTCCCTTTGAGTTCGTTATATCCGTAGTTTACTGTATATGCAGAGTACCGCAAAAGAAACGTCACCCCAAGTAAAATTACATGAACAGTTGTCATTTAGATATCTGGGTAATTTTTGTGAAAGTTTCTAAAACTTAACATTACCTTGTCCGGAAAAATGAAATTTAATGATAAAAAAACAAAGCAGATGACAATTAAACCGATCGTCCAAACGTATCATGGCAACGGTCATGGTAACCCGATGCACGTGAGTTCTGTGCAGATTGAAATGCACATGCGTTCCCCCATGTCTTGCCCAATACAAATCCACTCAGATCGGATAACATTCATTCCTTATTGAATTGCTACCACATGCCAAGATTGACAAGAAATCAGCGATACCAAGCCCTTGCACGATTGCAAGCTGGACAAACCATGCTTTTCAAGTCCCCGTAAGGACCATATACATGCTCCAGCAACGGTACCAGATATCCAATACTTCAGATGACCGACCACGTAGTGGAAAACCAAGGGTCACCACTCGACGTCAGGATCGTCAGATTGTGCGACAGCATCTTCAAGAGTTCTTTGTTACTGCTGCGGAAGCTGCTCGACAGACCATGGGGACACGTCTTCAGTGGGCAACACAGCACCAGCATTGCCGCCACCAGCAGTTGGGAAGAGTCCTCTTCTCAGACGAGAGCCGTTACTGTATCTCAACAGCAGATGGCAGGGAAGGGTAAGGCGACGCCGTGGGGAACCTTATTCGGATCCTTGTGTTGTTTAGAGACTCGTGGGGTTGTCCGAGCATCATGGTGTGGGGTGGAATTTGTCTTCCACAGAGGGTCGGCCCTGTGGTCTTCCAGAACATCGGTCCAGGGAGAGGCAATGGTGTCACAGCAGCTCGGTACATTGATCAAGTCTTGAGACCACACGTCATATCTCATTTGGCACATCGCCGCAACCACGAGTTTCAGCATGATAACGCCAACAAGAGACCTCCTTCAGCAGAATGGCATCAGAACCATGCAGTGGCCTGCCCTCAGTGGCGATTTAAATCCCATTGAGCACCTGTGGAACGAGATTCAAAGACGCCTGAATGACGTCCGACCAAGGCCGACAACTGCAGCTGAATTTCGTCAGGCGTTCCTCAGAGTGTGGGCTCAAGTGCCTATAGCCTTCATCAACCGCCTCATCCATTCCATGTATCGACGTTGCACTGCAGTCATGATTGCACATGGCGGACACACGAGACACTGACTTGTCATGTCAGTTTCTCAGAGACTAGTGTTGTGTTTCACTTTAAGAACATTTGACACTTTAATTTCGACCTTGATGATCAGTTTTGCCAAGTTTCATCTTTTTACTATGTCTCAAAGTATGTTTACAGTGTTATGACAAATAAGGTTTCTCATATATCTATCCACGGTGGCGTGTCTTTTGCGGTTCAGTATATTTAGGCCTGACTGAGTAAATACATGTATTTATCCCTCATATCATGAGTCATTCAGACTGTTCACGATATTCACTAGTTGTTCATGCATCCGCCCGTTGCATGCGGAAAATCCTCAGCAAGGTGCGAGACGCTGAACCCCAAGTTTACACTGTTTTTGTGTGAAGGTAATTTGAAGCAAAAGTACTAGTTTTAAGCAGGTATATAAAGTTCGGCAATTAAAACTTCTTTAGAAATATATTAAAACGAATTGATCACCGCGAGTATGTATAGACGTGAAAAGGACAAGGAATAGTATAGATAACATCGTCTTCACACTGCATATATACTCACACGCAAAAGAAACGCAAGTGTTTTTCAGCAAATAGGTAACAGACACGGAACCAAAAATTGATACGAGTTTTAGCATGTAGTGAAGCCTGATGGTGTTATCAATATTTTTGGTTGCATTTTGGAAGCCCCGAGTAAAAACGCAACATAAAAAATGAATCTCCAAAACGCACCATTTCAATGAATATGTGGGTATCATGCACCCATTTCCCGCGAAATCGAAAATGTACGAACTGTCACGAACTGTAGTTCGTATAAAACATTGATCAACAATGCCACGCCTAACTCAAATTCAGAGAAACCAGGCTATCGGACGTTTGGAAGCTGGAGAGTCTGTCCAAGATGTTGCCCGTCATTTCAACGTTTACATAACCACAATTTACCGTCTCCTGCATCGATACAATGGATCGGTCGTCCTAGGGTCGCCACACCTACACAAGATCGGCAGATTATCCATCAACACCAGCGACATGCAAGTGAAAGTGCTCGACAGACCATAGAAACACATAATCGACACATTAGCCAAGACACTGTGATCCGACGTCTCCGTTCCAACAACCTCAGATGTCGCCGACCAGCACGTCGTCCTGTTCTCCAACCACGGCATCGACAAGCACGACTTCAGTGGGCACAGGGTCATCGCAATTGGCGTCATCGTGATTCGAGGCGTGTCATCTTCTCTGATGAAAGTCGCTTTTGTGTCTCCCATGCAGACGGCAGAGTCAGAATTTGGCGTCGCCGAGGTGGTCGTTTCGCTGACAGAAACGTTGTGGAAAGGGATCCATGAGGTGGACCTAGCGTCATGATATGGGCAGGGATTGGACTTAATGCGAGACTTGGACCCATGTGATTTCTGAATGTTGTTCAAGGTCGGGGACACGGCGTCACTGCTCAGCGGTATATCGACCAAGTGATCAGACCCCACGTTGTTCCATTTTTTGCACAACATCAACAACACATTTTCCAACAGGACAACGCTCGTCCACATGTTGCCAGAGCTACCATGGCCTTTCTGCAACAACACAACATCCGTGTTCTACCGTGGCCAGCCCTCAGCCCTGATCTGAACCCCATCGAACACTTGTGGGATGAGGTTCAAAGGCGTCTGCACAATGTGCGCCCAGTACCTACAACTGCCGATGAACTACGCACAGCTGCTCTGGATGTGTGCAGGAGGATCCCTAGGGCCTTCACAAATCGTCTGACCCACTCAATGTACAGGAGATGTGTGGCAGTGAGCAATGCTAATGGTGGTCACACCAGGTATTGACTGACATTTTGGGTATTGACCCGAAAATGTGTAAGCCCTTAACATTTGAAAAAAACAATTATGTCATCTGCCTTTTAATCCATTAAACTGTCTTCAGTCAATTTTTTGTCAATCGTGCCCTATTACTATTTCTTGTCTTTAATGTTGAAAATAAATAGCATGTATACTGCATGCGTTTCTTTTGCGTGTGAGTATATTAACCACGAGATATAGGGACCGATCTCTGGGCAGAGATATCACTTAACACGACCAGCCTACACAACATAAGGTCTTGAGTGAATAAACAGTGAGTTTATTAGTAACTGACTGCCGGTCGTCCGAATTTATATCTATTCTAGCTACATCAGATATATCATTTTCTGATTAACATAGCGATAAACATACTATTGTGACCTAAAGATATCGACAGAATAATATAATATGGCCGAGTCCATGCTGATAAAGGTGTTTACGAGTGACGATCAACATGAAGAAGAATAGCAGACCAGTTACTTGTATGATGCGGATGTTTACGTAGTACGTGTAGATGATGGACACAGCCGTAAATACCGGTGACGGTGCTGACGTAGTACGTGTAGATGATGGACACAGCGGTAAATACCGGTGACGGTGCTGACGTAGTACGTGTAGATGATGGACACAGCGGTAAATACAGGTGACGGTGTTGACGTAGTACGTGTAGATGATGGACACAGCGGTAAATACAGGTGACGGTGTTGACGTCTTACATATGTTTGCCAGACAAACTCTATATCTGACCAGGACAACAAGAGATACTAGCCCTGATCAATGTACGTATCGCGTTATCAGTTTGACACTCCGCATGTTTCAGACATTGGAACGTGGATGATAGTTTGTAATATTCCATTATTTAACAATTTGTGTAGTTTCTCATATAATGTGTAAAGGTTTGTCCAATTATTCCACGCTAACACATACGTTTCAGGGCTGCATTCATCGGGGGAATAACAGGGACGAGACCATGAAATATACACACAGAGGAAGCCAGTTAGGATGAGATACAATGAATGTCAGTCAAACAGATAGAGATACTCTGAATTCCAGTCAAACAGATAGAGATACTCTTAATGCCAGTCAAACAGATAGAGATACTCTTAATGCCAGTCAAACAGATAGAGATACTCTGAATGCCAGTAAGACAGGTAAAGATACTCTGAATGCCAGTCAAACAGATAGAGATACTCCGAATGCCAGTCAAACAGATAGAGATACTCTGAATGCCAGTCAAAGAGATAGAGATACTCTGAATGCCAGTCAAACAGTTAGAGATACTCTGAATGCCAGTCAAACAGTTAGGGATACTCTGAATGCCAGTCAAACAGATAGAGATACTCTGAATGCCAGTCAAACAGATAGAGATACTCTGAATGCCAGTCAAAGAGATAGAGATACTCTGAATGCCAGTCAAAGAGATAGAGATACTCTGAATGCCAGTCAAACAGTTAGAGATACTCTGAATGCCAGTCAAACAGTTAGGGATACTCTGAATGCCAGTCAAACAGATAGAGATACTCTGAATGCCAGTCAAACAGATAGAGATACTCCGAATGCCAGTCAAACAGATAGAGATACTCTGAATGCCAGTCAAAGAGATAGAGATACTCTGAATGCCAGTCAAACAGTTAGAGATACTCTGAATGCCAGTCAAACAGTTAGGGATACTCTGAATGCCAGTCAAACAGATAGAGATACTCTGAATGCCAGTCAAACAGATAGAGATACTCTGAATGCCAGTCAAACAGATAGAGATACTCTGAATGTCAGTCAAACAGTTAGAGGTACTCTGAATGCCAGTCAAACAGTTAGGGATACTCTGAATGCCAGTCAAACAGTTAGGGATACTCTGAATGCCAGTCAAACAGATAGAGATACTCTGAATGCCAGTTAAACAGATAGAGATACTCTGAATGCCAGTCAAACAGATAGAGATACACTGAATGCCAGTCAAAGAGATAGAGATACTCTGAATGCCAGTCAAAGAGATAGAGATACTCTGAATGCCAGCCAAAGAGATAGAGATACTCTGAATGCCAGTCAAACAGTTAGAGATACTCTGAATGCCAGTCAAACAGTTAGGGATACTCTGAATGCCAGTCAAACAGATAGAGATACTCTGAATGCCAGTCAAACAGATAGAGATACTCTGAATGCCAGTTAAACAGGTAGAGATACTCTGAATGGCAGTCAAACAGATAGAGGTACTCTGAATGCCAGTCAAACAGTTAGAGATACTCTGAATGCCAGTCAAACAGTTAGAGATACTCTGAATGCCAGTCAAACAGTTAGAGATACTCTGAATGCCAGTAAGACAGGTAGAGATACTCTGAATGCCAGTCAAACAGTTAGAGATACTCTGAATGTCAGTCAAACAGGAAGAGATACTCTGAATGTCAGTCAAACAGGTAGAGATACAGTGAATGATAATTAAACAGTTAGACAAAATAGACACGATTAATGGATAACAGCTTCTTTGATTACTGTACAGGCGACGTGTCGATTAAGATCCTTATACCATTGCCAAGCATGTCATGCAATCATACGGCTATTGATTTAAAGCATTAAACCTCTGATCTGTAGCTTATTGAGAGAACAGCGTTGGATGGTAGAGAATACATACAAAATCATTGATCAGAACTTCAGATGCCTGTGTATATACCAATTCTCACTGCATAGGTTGATCAATACAAGGTTAAGTACATGATTGTCTGCCATATGTGATAGATTTATGTATACCCAGAAGTGACAATGAGTAGGGACACTGTCACTTCCGGTAATGGCAGTCAGACACAGCTATCATTGAAGGTAATCCAACAAGGTCATTAGTTTATACATTTGAGAATACTAACAAATAAAGTATTGCTTCAGTGTCAACGAAAGCTGTGAAGTTGTTTTGTGATGAAAGTCGGCAAAGATTGCATGGTTGCATCTAGAGATTCGATCTTTCATCGTCGTCTCAAAAGACTTCCCATGGGAGACCCTACTTCATTATTATCAAGCTTGACGATACATCCCACTTTTGTCAGTGCTGATGATGTGGTAGGTTGTCTTAATGACATTTTTGTCAGTATGGACCGTACAATAGCTCGTTTGATTGCCACGACTGCTTTCCTTCACGAGCGATGGGTATAAACACGATGAACGATATCATCCTATTTGTCAGTGTAGTCCGTACAATAGCTCGTTTGATTACCACGACTGCTTTTCTTCACGAGCGATGGGTATAAACACGATGAACGATATCATCCTATTTGTCAGTGTGGTCCGTACAATAGCTCGTTTGATTGCCACGACTGCTTTCCTTCACGAGCGATGGGTATAGACACGATGAACGATATCATCCTATTTGTCAGTGTAGTCCGTACAATAGCTCGTTTGATTGCCACGAATGCTTTCCTTCATGAGCGATGGGTATAAACACGATGAACGATATCATCCTATTTGTCAGTGTGGTCCGTACAATAGCTCGTTTGATTGCCACGACTGCTTTCCTTCACGAGCGATGGGTATAAACACGATGAACGATATCATCCTATTTGTCAGTGTGGTCCGTACAATATCTCGTTTGATTGCCACGACTGCTTTCCTTCACGAGCGATTGGTATAAACACGATGAACGATATCATCCTATTTGTCAGTGTAGTCCGTACAATATCTCGTTTGATAGCCACGAATGCTTTCCTTCATGAGCGAGGGGTATAAACACGATGAACGATATCATCCTATTTGTCAGTGTGGTCCGTACATTAGCTCGTTTGATTACCACGACTGCTTTCCTTCACGAGCGATGGGTAAAAACACGATGAACGATATCATCCTATTTGTCAGTGTAGTCCGTACAATATCTCGTTTGATAGCCACGACTGCTTTCCTTCACGAGCGATGGGTATAGACACGATGAACGATATCATCCTATTTGTCAGTGTAGTCCGTACAATATCTCGTTTGATTGCCGCGACCGCTTTCCTTCACGAGCGATGGGTATAAACACGATGAACGATATCATCCTATTTGTCCGTATGGTCCGTACAATATCTCGTTTGATTGCCGCGACTGCTTTCCTTCACGAGCGATGGGTATAAACACGATGAACGATATCATCCTATTTGTCCGTATGGTCCGTACAATATCTCGTTTGATTACCACGACTGCTTTCCTTCACGAGCGATGGGTATAAACACGATGAACGACATCGATGATGCTGCAGCGACATACTTGGGGCTTTATTTACAGTTACTATTGGCAACAGGGATGAACTGGGTGTAGATCAGTAGGTTCACTCTGTACACGATGAAGGTGTGTGTGTGTGTGTGTGTGTGTTGAGACGAGACGTCCCACGGCCTTGTGATGCTGCTGTCACACAAGGCAGCAGGTGTAAAACAATAAATAAAAATGTCATCTTGGTGTACGTCCATTTAACCTTTCATAAACTGAAGTCACGTGACTGACTACATTCAACTTTCATGTCGTAAAAATCATCAGCACACTCTGCAGCGTCGCAATATTTTGTGTTTTACATTTCTTTCACGGCCACCTGGGAATGGGTTTGGACCAGACAAACTAGTGGTTGATAGTATGAGCAGCGGTCTGAGGCCAGGACCAGCCAATCAGCATCTCAACTCAGGCTGGATGTTGTGAGAATTAGGTCTGTCCAGTGTACATGTCAGCTTTTTCAACTCACAACAGGTCTTGGTGCGGTAGGGTTCATAAAGTGTTCGCTCGTCACGCCTAAGGCCTGGGTTCGATTCCCATTGGATACAATGGGGTTCTCTCGCTGTGCTATTGCTGGATTATCTCCAACAGCGGCATAAAACCTTACTCACTCACAACATGTTACATATGAAATGTATTCGCTTGTATAGCTTTCGTAACAAAGTGTTATTGATTTCAATTCACCACCATGCGGCATGGTTTATATTGCTCGGTAATTGTTTTCACGGAAAAGGTAGATTGTATATATGTATGCACGATGATGGAAATTGATAACAGAAATATGATATGAGCATGCCAACCTGCACACCTCCGTGAATGACTAACTGCAACAGCTGTCCCTCACAGGAAAGTAATTGTGGGACTGCTTGTGTAGCCGGACAGGCAATTGCTCAACGAGGACGAGCGGCAGGGAGACACGCAACAGGGGCAGGGGGTAGGTGCAGGTGTTGGTGCAGGGGTAGTGGAGGGGGTAGGGGTAGGGGCAGGGGTAGTGGAGGGGGTAGGAGATGGGGCAGGGGCAGTGGCAGGGGGAAGGGGTAGGTGTAGCAGATGGGGTAGTTGAGGAACTAGGGGTAGGGGTAGGGGCAGGGGTAGTGGAGGGGCTAGGAGATGGGGCAGGGGTAGTGGCAGGGGGAAGGTACAGGTGTTGTGGAGGGGTAGTGGAGGGGTAGGGATAAGGGCAGGGGTAGTTGAAGGGGTAGGAGCAGGGGTAGTGGCAGGAGGTAGGTGCAGGAGTAGGGGTAACGGAGGGGGTAGGGGGAGGGGCAGGGGTAGAGGAGGGGGTAGGGGTAAGGGCAGGGGTAGTTGAGGGGGTAGGAACAGGGGTAGTGGCAGGAGGTAGGTGCAGGAGTAGGGGTAACGGACGGGGTAGAGGAGGGGGTAGGGGAAGGGTCAGGGTAGAGGAGGGGGTAGGGGTAAGGGCAGGGGTAGTTGATGGGTAGGAACAGGGGTAGTGGCAGGAGGTAGGTGCAAGAGTAGGGGTAACGGACGGGGTGGAGGAGGGGGTAGGGGAAGGGGCAGGGGTAGTGGGAGGAGGTTGATGCAGGAGTTGGTGCAGGGGTAGGTAGAGCAGGAATGCGGGGCTGTTTATAGCTGACAGCTACTACAGTATAGACACGCATCAGGAAATAGCCTCGGATTATTTGATGCTCTGAAGTGGGTGGTTGGTGGCTGGAACAGGGGAGATCCTCTGACAACACTATTTATTCCATCAGGTTTTAGGAAAAGACTTTTTGTTCCCTGAGTATGCTGGACAGAATATCCTGAATATTCTGTGTCTCAAATAGAGTATTGAAGCTGTGACGGTTAAATGCATATCTAACTTAACGAGTTTTCCATCTGTTTACAGTTCAAAGTGAAACTCCACCTCAGGAAGTGCCTCGCTGTGGGGGACGACTATTACAACTGAAATATACGTGATTATTAGAGCCTCGCTCTGGGAGTCAACTGAAGTACCAGAAAACACCTGATCATCGGCTGCTTCTAGTCAGCATCATGACATCTCACTGAAGTTGGCGAGGGATGATGCATGGGTCCAAAACTACCTTTACCTTTACTTCGTCAATATATACCGTGCTAGTATACACTAGCTGACTAGGAACATAGCACAGTTGGTGAAGTTCGCCACCAACTGATTTCATATCGGAATCGTGTGATCCTAACTACAAACAGGCATACACTGTAAATCACTTATGACTGAACAGCCCTCTACGATCAACACCCGCAATCCACAAATAGTCTATTCGCCAAGGTCCATCAGCACCCACCCGGCTTACAAGGACCCAAAACGACCAGTCATGATGTTCGTGAATACTTTCCTGAAACACTTGAAGCAGGAGTACTGGGCCTATATCGCCCTCTTCGGCATCATGGCGCTCTACAGCGGCGTCATGGTCGCAGTGTTCGGCTTCACCGACATCGTGCACCCGTCTGGCGGGGAGATCGAGTGGTTTGGCATTTTCCTTATTCTGGGGGGCATTGCCCTCATCCTCACTTCCGGTATCCTCTACCACCGGAAGTCGCGGCGCCTCCGGCCCTGTATCTGTTGTGGGATGGACTTTGATGACACTCCCGAGTTTCCGCCCAGGAACAAGAAGCGTCTACGGTTCGCACCAAACTTGATATCGCCCTATTACGAGATGGTGAAGCACGAGGAACGGAGGCAGACTTTGCCCGCAATCAAAGCGCCTATCGTCCGTTTTCAAAATAGAACGTCCGACATTGAAACGTCTGACATTGAGGCCGCTGAGGAACAAAGGGGAGACAACTCTGAGGGCAGTAATACTACTTTGATAACGGACATGCGAGGTGCTCAGGTCACCAGGTGTTAAAGGTAATCAAAGACGGACAAACTGCATACACGTCATAAAGCCAATATATACATTGTTGCTTGAATCGGAATAACTGACGACTGTTGCAGCGTTTTTCAGAAGCGGAATGTTGTTGTTACTTCATTTCGAATGTATAGTGATTAAGGAACATTTGAAGGCTGCCCATCTAATGAGTTTATTGAAATTTTACTGAAATTTTAGTGATTCGTGACTGTTCGTCACTGATTGCCAACGAGCCCGATTCCTCGTGACGTGCAGAGTGACTAAAATCTGACAGCTCAGTGACAGTCTCAGCATCGCCAGTAACAACGTTCACGTGCCTTTGTACCACTGTGCCAGACTTTCTCCAGAGAGGACCTAGCGGCCTTGACCTACCACTAGGGGTGATGGCGGCATGAGGTGCCTGGTCCGAATTTGTTCTGGCACATGCGGCCTGATACTTAAAGTTGTGCAATATTCTTTGTCAGTGTATATGTACTTTAATAGTGCCTAACAACGTTTTGTATAATGAGATATCATCAAAGCGTATTCCTAACAAATATATTTGAGTGTTTCAGAATATGTCAGACTCATGCGAACTATTTGCACTTCCTACATAATGATGTCAGATTCATTGATGAACGAAAAGCATCGAGAGTACCACACAGCATCGAACACTGCTCTGAGATGCGGTTCTAGTGTCAGGTTTTACACATGCAATCGGCGCCACATTTGAGAATTAATATTTATAAATACTCCTGCGAGATGCCTCCATGTGAAATTGAAAGTTATCTGTATGGACTTTAGACACATGAGATCCTATATGAAATATTCCGGAGTCGGCAACAAGGGAGACCTTGTTTTATTGAGGAGTTATATTTTGCTAGTTTTGAATTGTTTGAATTTACGCCAATGGGTTCGTGTGCATTATGTGCAGAAATACTGAATCACTGTTTGTTACTTGTTTTATTACTGGGGTGTTCGAGTGCGGCGTGTCTGTGATAACAGCCGCCGGACGAATTCGCACCACACCTTTGCCCACTCACTGAGATACTGCTACAGGAGCAGATTGTCCCGTGCTTCACAAACTGTTACATATTCAACAAACATTTGAATATTGAGTTATGTGTATATTTGTTCCAGTTATTGTTATATATATATACAGTGTTGTTATTAATATGCATTCTTGATTTTCATGTTCAACTTTTATACTTGATAACTCTCTCATAAAATCAGATGAGGTGTGGCTGGGTGTTGGTGTTTCTTCCCCTTGAGAATCTTCCTACAGAGATACACAGACGTTGCAGTTTGTGATCCACCGATCAACAATAAAAACACATCCGTATTATTGAGCCAAATGGGTGTCAGGAAAGCGTGGCGGCAGATGAAGGTGAAATCCGTGATCATGATGGTGAGACACGTGATCAATGTGACGAAACACGTGGTCAAGGTGGTAAAACTCGTTAGAATGGTGGTGAAACACGTTACCATGGTGGTGAAATCCGTGAGCATTGTGGTGAACTCGGTGAGCATGGTGGTACAAAATGTTAGAATGGTGGTGAAACAGGTGATCATGATGGTGGAACAGGTGAGCATGATGGTGAAACAGGTGATCTTGGTAGTGAAACGCGTAATCATGATGGTGAAACACGTGATCATGATGTGAAATATGTGATCATAGTGGTGAAACATGTGAACATGAGACCCGTAAAGATCCGGGGTGGAATAGGTCTTCGGCAAGCCGTGCTTGTCCTAAAAGGCGACTATGCTTGTCGTAAGAGGTGACTTACGGGATGGGGTGGTCAGGCTCGCTGACTTGGTTGATTCATGTCATCGTATCCCAATTGCGTGGATTGATGCTAATGATGTAAATCACTGGATCGTCTGGTCCAGACTCGATTATTTACAGACCGCCGTCATACAACTGGAATATTGCTGAAGGCGCCGTTAAACAACAAACAAACAAACAAACAAAACAAACGTGATCATGATGGTAAAACACGTGATCGAGGGGGTGAAACACGTGAACATGGAGGTGAAACACGTGAGCATGGTGGTGAAACACGTGTTCAAGGTGGTACAACACGTTAACATGGTGGTGAAAGACGTTAGCATGGTGGTGAAACACGTGAGCATGGTGGTGAAACACGTGATCATTGTGGTGAAACACGTGAGCATGGTGGTGAAACACGTGATCATGGAGGTGAAACACGTGAGCATGGTGGTGAAACACGTGAGCATGGTGGTGAAACACGTGAGCATGGTGGTGAAACACGTGATCATGGAGGTGAAACACGTGATGATGGTGGTGAAACACGTGAGAATGATGGTGAAAGAGGTGTTCATGGTGATAAAAGACGTGATCATGATGGTGAAACACGTTAGTAAGGTGGTAAAACATGTGACCATGGGGGTGAAACACGTGAGCATGGTGGGGAAACGTGAGCTTGGTGGTAAAACACGTGATCATAAAGGTGAAACACGTGAGGATGATGGTGAGATATATTAGCATGGTATTGAAACACGTTAGCATAGTGGTGAAACACGTGATCATGGTGGTAAAAGACGTGATCATGATGGTGAAACAGGTGATCATGGTGGTAAAACACGTGAGCTTGGTGGTGAAACATGTGAGCTTGGTGGTAACGAGCGAGCGAGTATGGTTTAACGTCGTTTTTAGCAATATTCCAGCAATATCACGGCGGGGCTTGGTGGTAAAACACATGAGCATGATTGTGAGATATGTTAGCATGGTCGTGAAACACGTTAGCAAGGTGGTGAAACATCTGATCATGGAGGTGAAACACGTGAGCATGATGGTAAAACACGTGATCATGAAGATGAAACACTTGATCATAGTGGTAAAACACGTGATCATGGTGGTAAATGACGTGATCATGATGGTGAAACAGGTGAGCATTAAGGTGAAACACGTGATCATAGTGGTGAAACACGTGAGGATGATGGTAAAAGACGTGATCATGAAGGTGAAACAACTGATCATGGTGTAAAACATGTTAGCAATGTGGTAAAATACACGTGATCATGGAGGTGAAACATGTTAGCATGGTGGTAAAACACGAAAGCATGGTGGTAAAACACGTTAGCATGGTGGTAAAACACGTTAGCATGATGGTAAAACACGTTAGCATTGTGGTAAAACACGTTAGAATGGTGGTAAAACACGTTAGCATGGTGGTAAAACACGTCAGCATGATAGTAAAACACGTTAGCATTGTGGTACAACACGCTAGCATGGTGGTAAAATACGTTAGCATGGTGGTAAAACACGTTAGCATGATGGTAAAACACGTCAGCATGATAGTAAAACACGTTAGCATTGTGGTACAACACGCTAGCATGGTGGTAAAATACGTTAGCATGGTGGTAAAACACGTTAGCATGATGGTAAAAGACGTAAGCATGGAGGTGAAACACGTTAGCATGGTGGTAAAACACGTTAGCATGATGGTAAAAGACGTTAGCATTGTGGTGAAACACGTAAGCGTGGTGGTAAAACACGTTAGCATGGTGGTAAAACACGTTAGCATGATGGTAAAACACGTTAGCATGGTGGTAAAAGACGTTAGCATGGTGGTAAAAGACGTAAGCATGGTGGTGAAACACGTTAGCATGATGGAAAAAAACGTTAGCATGGTGGTAAAACACGTTAGCATGATGGTAAAACACGTCAGCATGGTGGTAAAACACGTTAGCATGAAGGTAAAACACGTTAGCATGATGGTAAAACACGTTAGCATGGTGATGAAACACGTTAGCATGGTGGTAAAAAACGCCAGCAAGGAGGAAAAACACGGTTTACCGTGGAGGTGAAACACGTGAGCATGATGGTGAAATAAGTGAGGATGGTGGTGAAACACATGATGGTGCTGAAATACGTGATCAAGGTGATGAAACTCGTGAGCATGATCGTGAAACAAGTGAGCTTGATGGTAAAACACGTGATCTACATGGTAGTGAAACACGTGAGCATGAATGTGAAACACATTAGCATTGGGGTGAAACATGTCACCATGGTAACAAGGATTACACTCAGTGAATCTGGTGTTCAAGCCCATAACCGGGGCGGTCGGGTAGCCTAGTGGTTAAAGCTTTCGCTCGTCACGCCGAAGACCCGGGTTCGGTTCCCGACATGGGTACAATATGTGAAGCCCATTTCTGGTGTCCCCCGCTGTGATATTGCTGGAATAATGCTAAAAGCGGCGTGAAACTAAACTCACTCGCTCACTCAGGCCCATAACCAGAGGATATTGGCGGGTAAGGGACACAACTGTTTGCAGCAAACATGAAAAGGCAACTGTTGTTTTAAGAAGCGCCAGTAAAATCTAAACTGCTTATCACTGTCTCACTTGGCCTGCCAGCGGATCTGTTTGTCCAGCGGATCTGTTGGACCAGCGGATCTGTTGGACCAGCGGATCTGTTGGACCAGCGCCGATAATCCATACCTGCTACAAGATAACGTCATGTATGTGATTGTAACCAGTGAACCTAGACATAAGTGTCCTGTGTGGGAAATAACGAATATGTTTTACTATATGAACATGCCTTGTAAAGAGAAAGCTGGGGTATCATGTAACTCGACATATAGGCAACCTTTCCCCATCCAACATTTGCAACAACATGTGGTTTGGGTATTTTTCAGTTAAAGAAATGATCGGTATACTTAGTCATACTCAATGTATCATTGGCTCTCAGCTCACAACTTCTTCTAGATCGGTATACTTAGTCATACTCAATGTATCATTGGCTCCCAGCTCACAACTTCTTCCAGATCGGTATACTTAGTCATACTCAATGTATCATTGGCTCCCAGCTCACAACTTCTTCTAGATCGGTATACTTAGTCATACTCAATGTATCATTGGCTCCCAGCTCACAACTTCTTCTAGATCGGTATACTTAGTCATACTCAATGTATCATTGGCTCTCAGCTCACAACTTCTTCCAGATCGGTACACTTAGTCATACTCAATGTATCATTGGCTCCCGGCTCACAACTTCTTCCAGATCGGTGTACTTAGTCATACTCATTGTATCAGAGGCTCTCAGCTCACAACTTCTTCCAGATCGGTATACTTAGTCATACTCAATGTATCATTGGCTCCCAGCTCACAACTTCTTCTAGATCGGTATACTTAGTCATACTCAATGTATCAGAGGCTCTCAGCTCACAACTTCTTCCAGATCGGTATACTTAGTCATACTCAATGTATCATTGGCTCACAGCTCACAACTTCTTCTAGATCGGTATACTTAGTCATACTCAATGTATCATTGGCTCTCAGCTCACAACTTCTTCCAGATCGGTATACTTAGTCATACTCAATGTATCATTGGCTCCCAGCTCACAACTTCTTCTAGATCGGTATACTTAGTCATACTCAATGTATCATTGGCTCACAGCTCACAACTTCTTCTAGATTGGTACACTTAGTCATACTCAATGTATCATTGGCTCCCAGCTCACAACTTCTTCCAGATCGGTATACTTAGTCATACTCAATGTATCATTGGCTCCCAGCTCACAACTTCTTCTAGATCGGTATACTTAGTCATACTCAAGGTATCATTGGCTCCCAGCTCACAACTTCTTCCAGATCGGTATACTAAGTCATACTCAATGTATCATTGGCTCCCAGCTCACAACTTCTTCCAGATCGGTACACTTAGTCATACTCAATGTATCATTGGCTCCCAGCTCACAACTTCTTCCAGATCGGTATACTTAGTCATACTCAATGTATCATTGGCTCCCAGCTCACAACTTCTTCTAGATCGGTATACTTAGTCATACTCAATGTATCATTGGCTCACAGCTCACAACTTCTTCTAGATCGGTATACTTAGTCATACTCAATGTATCATTGGCTCCCAGCTCACAACTTCTTCTAGATCGGTATACTTAGTCATACTCAATGTATCAGAGGCTCTCAGCTCACAACTTCTTCTAGATCGGTATACTTAGTCATACTCAATGCATCGTTGGCTCTCAGCTCACAACTTCTTCTAGATCGGTATACTTAGTCATACTCAATGTATCATTGGCTCCCAGCTCACAACTTCTTCCAGATCGGTATACTTAGTCATACTCAATGCATCGTTGGCTCTCAGCTCACAACTTCTTCTAGATCGGTATACTTAGTCATACTCAATGCAGCATTGGCTCTCAGCTCACAACTTCTTCCAGATCGGTACACTTAGTCATACTCAATGCATCATTGGCTC